GCCTGCTCTGTGTGGCTCCAGGGATAGAGCAGAGGCATTTCACTATAGTCCCTGCCCTTAGGGAACTCCCAGACCCGTGGGAGGACAGACCAGCAAGCCACTAGAGTGCAGTGTGGTGGGTGCTGGGCTGCGATAGTAAAGTCCAATCTGTGGGGTGAGGGAGGAGAGCCTGGGAAACACCTTTGCCCTCTACTCTGTCTTGTCTAGGGTTTCCCACTCTGCCCCTCTCCCTCTGCTGTCCCAGTGACTCTATTGCTAGAGCTGTAGCTTTTACACCTGCTCTGCTACCTGTCCTGTGGCCCAGTCCACTTTCTCAGATCCAGTCTGGTCTCTCCATCTTGTCCAAAGTCCTCCCAGCCTGTTGTCATCCCCAGGACAGATGCTGGCCAAGATCATACCCAAGGCCTTCCTGGTCTTGCCCTCTGCCTCTGCTGCCTTTGTCCCTCCCACAGCGTGTGCTGTGTTCCTGCCATGCGCTGGGTGCTGTTCCAGGGTCTCAAGCAAAGCCTTGAGTACGACACAGGCCCCTCTCAGCAGCACCACACTGCAGCACCCCTGTGTTCATGCAGGGGCTTTGGCACACACAGGCCATTCCGTCTTGCTGTGCAGATGCTGCTCAGGTTGCCTGGCCCACCTCTCCCTCCAGCCTTTCCTCCCCCCAGAAAATACCTTCTTGCCTTTCATGGCTGGTGCTCTGTGTCTCTTCTTGCCAAGTCTTCCGTGGGTCAGGGCTGCCTCTCCATCTCCACGGCAGCCTCTGTCTCCTCCTTTCCCCTGGGTGCCGACTTACTGTTCTGTGGGCTCTTTGGGAGGTTCTGTGTTTTAGTTTTATTCTTCTATGCTCCTGGCTATTATCATAGGACCATGCATGAGGTAGGTGCTTGCTCAGTAAATGTCCAAACAGAAATGAGGAAGCCACAGCTCGGGAGGTGCCTTCCTAGGTTCCATTTGGAGGTAGTCGGGGGCGGGGGGCACAGGCAGCCCCATGGAAGGGAATCATGATTGGCTGGGATGAGATTTAAGCTGCTGTTGTCCACCTGCTGCTATACCTTGGGGCTCAGGCAAATACGGCCTGTTCTTCAGGGCACAAGTGACGCTGCTCCAGAGCTGAGCACTGCATCCCTATGTTGTTGTTGGGTTTTCTTACCTGGAAAAATATGGCCATTTTCCTTCCATATCCTCTAGCAAGTCCTCAATACACTGGTTCTATTTGTATGTCTCTATGTAAACACATCACAACACATCATATCATATATGGCTCTGAAGAAGCAGCAAAGGCAACAGCTGAGAACGTTGTGCCCTACAGCAGTTGGGGAGCTGTGTGAAACAGAGTAGCCTTCAGAGACGAAGTCTTCTGGAAGGGAAAAGACCAGCTTCTTACCTGCTCACCCATTGATGGACACTTGGGTCGCTTCCACCATATGGCTGTTGAAAATGATGCTGCTCTATACACGGGTGGACAAATATCTGTTCAGGCCCCTGATTTCAATTCTTTTGAATATATATCAGAAGTGGGATTGCAAGATCCTACAGCAATTCTATGTTTCATGGGCTGAAGAATCACCACACTGTTTTCCATAGTGGCTGCATCATTTCATGTTCTCATCCAATAGGGCACAAGGCTTCTGACTTCCTGTCAGTCTTCTCAACACTTCTTCTGTCGCTGTTATTTTTAAAATAACCAACCATAAACAGAACTTTCTCAAAAGAAGAAATTCAAATGGCCAAAAAGCACATGAAAAAATGCTCACCATCTCTAGCCATAAAGGAAATGCAAATTAAAACCACACTAAGATTCCACCTCACCCCTGTTAGAATAGCCATCATCAGCAACACCACCAACAACAGGTGTTGGCGAGGATGCGGGGAAAAAGGAACCCTCTTACACTGTTGGTGGGAATGTAGACTAGTACAACCACTCTGGAAAAAAAAATTGGAGGCTACTTAAAAAGCTAAACATTGATCTACCATATGATCCAGCAATACCACTCTTGGGGATAGACCCAAAAGACTGTGACAGAGGTTACTCCAGAGGCACCTGCATGCCTTGGCTATTCACAATAGCCAAGTTATGGAAACAGCCAAGATGCCCTATTACTGACAAATGGATCACGAAAATGTGGTATCTATACACAATGGAATTTTATGCAGCCATGAAGAAGAACGAAATGTTATCATTCGCTGGTAAATGGATGGAATTGGAGAACATCATTCTGAGTGAGGTTAGCCTGGCCCAAAAGACCAAAAACCATATGTTCTCCCTCATATGTGGACATTAGATCAAGGGCAAACACAACAATGGGATTGGACTTTGAGCACATGATAAAAGCGAGAGCACACAAGGGAGGGGTGAGGATAGTTTAGACACCTAAAACATTAGCTAGCATTTGTTGCCCTTAACGCACAGAAACTAAAGCAGATACCTTAAAAGCAACTGAGGCCGATAGGAGAAGGGGACCAGGAACTAGAGAAAAGGTTAGATCAAAAAGAATTAACCTAGAAGGTAACACACACGCACAGGAAATCAATGTGAGTCAATGCCCTGTATAGCTATCCTTATCTCAACCAGCAAAAACCCTTGTTCCTTCCTATTATTGCTTATACTCTCTCTACAACAAAATTAGAAATAAGGGCAAAATAGTTTCTGCTGGGTATTGAGGGGGTGGGGGGGAGAGGGAGGGGGCGGAGTGGGTGGTAAGGGAGGGGGTGGGGGCAGGGGGGAGAAATGACCCAAGCCTTGTTTGCACATATGAATAATAAAATAAAGAAATAAAATAAAATAAAATAAAATAGCCAACCAAATGCTATGAGGTCGGATCTCATTGGGGTTTTGATGTGCATTAAAAAAAACCCCCTAAATTAAAAAAATCCTTTGTATGTTCTGCATATTTATCCCTTATTGTGTGTGTGTGTGTGATTTGATTTACAGATATTTTTCCCATTCTGTCAGCAGCCTTTGCATTCTCTTGGCACCGTCCTTTGATGGACAAAAGCCTTCCCTTTTGATGGTTATTTTAACTATTTTTTCTTTTGTTGCCTAAGTCATGAAGCTTTCCCCATCACCCTCTATTTTTAGTCAATACCTAAAGCCCTGCTAAAATGTCCCAAGGAGTGCTGACACACTGCCGAGGCCTTCTGCACTCCATTTAAACAATAATTTGCTCAGCTGAGGTTCATCAGGTTCTTTGCTTATGACTCGATTGCCAGTTGGCTCCACTCTCCTTGGCATTTTCTCAAGCCCGGGGCACAGCTTTCCGTGGGTCCTTGGGCCACACCACAGTGCGAGCCATGGAGACTGGTGAAAAAGCACAGGCCAAGAACACCTGGAGGTCGTCTGGCTCAATTCTCTGGCATTAAGATGAAGAAAGGGAGGCTGGCAATGGAAGTGGGACCGCAAAGCCCTGCACACAGCTGAAGCCTGGCCCAGACTGTTCACTCCTCCCTGGAGCTCCCCTCCTGAAGTCATTCCACCCCTTGGAGGAAAAGGGACAGGCAGCAGAGACCTGCTGTCACTTGAGCCCCACTGGGTTCCTGTCACAAGGATTGCTACAATCCTTACTGTGTCCCTGCAGGGACTCAACAAACAGGAAGCGAAGTTCAGAGTTTTGAGCTTGCTTTTCACAGGTGACATGCAGGAGCCAGACTCCAGTCTTGACCCTGAAGACCCAAGGTTCTGACACCTACCAGAGTGACTCCGGATTCCAAAGGGTCCCTGTAAGCCTCTCCTGGATGCTGGGGATTCCCAGATGAGGACTCAGGCCCCTCAGAGGTGGCCCAAAACAAGCACAGAGCCAGACAAGTATGAGCAAAATCGTCCTTTTGAAATCAGTGACTTTAACGACTTGTCATGGATGAGTGCCACTGAAGTCAGGCAGCCCCCAGCCTGCGAGTCTCCACAGACTCATGCGGGTTAGGTGACTTCTGAGTCTGGCTATGGTGGCCTCATCAGGCTCTGCCCAGGACCAGGGAACTCCCTTGGCCTCCAGCGGCAGCCCAGCTTGCCAGCTTTGATTGTAACTTGCTTGTGGTTATTGTTCCTTTCCTTCCAAGCTGATGACTGATGTTTGACATTAAACATTTCAGGGTTCCCTGCCCCCCACCCCCTGGAGTACTGGAACTAGAAAAGTCCTTTGGGCTCATTTCCCCGTGTTTTACAGATGCCCAGGACAGGGTCCAGAGTGGGTAAGGCCTCTTGGGAAGCAATGACCAGGCGCCAGGCTCTCCTGGGCAAGCTGACTGTCTCCTTTCTCTGGGTCCATCCGGGATCAGGCCAGGCTTGAGGCCGAGCAGGAAAGCTCCCTGGGCGGCCATCAGCAGCGCCCACCCCGCCCCATTTCCTGTTGAATTTAAGCCAGTTTTAGGTTAACTGGGTAGTTATTAACCAGAAGGATGGTTACAGTCCCTTTCCCGCCGGTCTTTCTGGCCGTCCACACGGCCAACTCCGCTGCCCTGGCACGGGAGGGCTTCTTGGAGGTGGAGGCGGGAGGCGAGCGGGCCAGTGACCCTCACGCTCTCCAGGGTAGGCCCCGGACTGCCCAGAGCCCGGGCGGCGGCGGGGCGGGGAGCTGAAGACTTGGCTCCGCACCTGGGGACCCCGCCTATTCCTTCCTCTTCTCGCCGGGAAGCAGGGGTGTGACGGAGTTGGGGGGAGGGGACAGGGAAGGGGAGAGGAGCCTACAGCGGAGTAGGGCCCGGCAGACAGGAGAGCAGAGCGCGCCGACGCCGTGCACGCGCCGCACCCGCTGGGCGGGTTCGGAAATGACGACCGCGCGTGAGACCTCGTCAGGCCCCGCCCCCAGACCTGCCCCGCCCACCCGGGCTCCACCCCTCTTCAAAGACCCCGCCCAGTCTCGCTTCTACCCCTTTCCCGCTAGGGCTTGCTCACTCTCCAGGACACGCCTCTTAAGACCACGCCCCCTATCCTCTCCAGGCTCCCGCCCTCCAAGCCACGCCCCCTTCAGGCTCCGCCCCGCCGACTCCGCTCACTCTGGCCCCGGCGGGAGGCGGCGCCGCTTCTCCCCCGGCTCCAGTGGGACCCACGGCGAAGGCGCTGCGTGGGGTCCGGCGGCTCGAGGGTCCCGGGTGCTGTGCGCTCAGCGGTCCGCGGGGCGGCCATGGAGGAAGCCGCGCCGCAGCACCTGTCGCTGCCCTCGGGGCTGCTGGAGCTGTGCGCGCTGCTGGGCGCTCCTCAGGACCGCCTCCGTGGCCTGGAGCAGGTAGGGGGTCTGCGGGGAAACTGAGGCGGAGCTCCGGGTGCCGGTCAGAAGGCGGGGTCCCAGGCGGGCGCATCGCCAGGTGGGTGTCCAGGTGCGCAGCGGGGCTGGCGCGAACTTTCTACGGCTGTGGCCCCCAGCCGGCCTCTGGCTGCCGGCCGCTCTGCCCCTGCGGGCCCCGGCCTCCTTCGCGTCCACGCGCGGCGCAATCCCGCCTGTGCCCGGGGGCCCACGGCGCCCCCGAGAACGGGCCCCGCGCGCCAGCTGGGTGGGGGACCGTGCGCTCAAGCTCAGGGCAGGCACCATCAGCCTCCCAGGTGCGGGGACCAGCAGCTATTGGCCAGACGACGCTAACCCGGGGCCCCGACCCATCCCCTCCCTGGGGACCTTCTCTCGGGGGCCGGGAGCCAGCTGGATTTGTACCTAGTGATTATGGCGATGCAGAAGCGCTCACGCCCGTTGGAGCGTTTCTCCGCGTCTCGTTGCCCCTCTCGTCTCCGCCCTCCGATGCTGCCACCTTGGGCAAGGTGCTGACTCTTGCCGCCCGGAGTTCAAGATCCAGTGGACCAAATCCTTGCCTAATGATTTCCTTCATTGCACAAAGCTTTATTGTCTCCTAATTACTGGAGATATTATTCTGTACTGGGAACAGAATAATGAGATTTCAGGTTTTAGATTTACTTGTGCGGTGAAGCCTGTTTTTCTCAGTTGCAGGACAGCCCCTCCCCCTTTTCCTTCCAGCTCTACACCTAGCAGCCAAAGACCTGCATGTCCCTTTCTCTGGGAACACAGGAGTTTTAGAAAATCTCATTATCCTTGTTTCTTTCCTGTGTTCTCACTTCTTAATCCTGGAGCCCAGGCTTGCTTTTGAGCCCATCTGTGGTCCTTTTTTATTTCCTTTTGCTCCACCTGTCTGTGACACTGTGTCTCTGTCATTTTCCCCCAGAGATTGTCCTAATGTCAGGCCCAGGTATGTGCACAAATCCTTTCATATCATTCCAGATGACCACACTGGAAGTCAGATAGTCGTCTGAGTATTTGAGTGATGGCTGGCTGTCCAGGGAAAATAAACAATGGAGGAGGAATGGTTGTCACCAAGAAAAGCTAAATGTTACTAAAAGTCACCCAGTAAATGTTTGTTAATGCCTGGGTAGTTCCTATGACTAGACTTTAGTAGAAAGCCGATTATGACTCCTGTAAAAAGCATTATTTTATGTGGAAATGATTTCTGCACAGTCCTCCCACCTTTCTTACTCCTTCACCCCCCAAAATGTCACCCCCTTTTGATCTCTGTGTCCTCATAGATTGATTTAGTTGTCTCTTTGCCTCTAATTTGCCAAATGGCACTGCCTCCCATTTTTTTTTTTTTAGAATAGGAAATAACCTGGTTTCACTTGTGGTCTTTGCTGCAGTTCCTGGTTCTTACTTCAGGGGCATTACAGCTCACACAACAAAGTGTGAGACATGCCCGGGAGGCAGGGTGAATCAGCTGGAATATTTCCAGTGTTTTCCCTTACTGAGCAGGGTGCACTACCCCAGGTCAAATGAAGGGGCCTCTTCCTTTGTACTTAACATTAATCTTCCTCAGGGGGCCGGGGGAAGAGGGGAGTCATGACCCAATCATTGTATGCACATATAAATAAAGCAAATAAAAACAAAACAAAACAAAACAAAACAAACCACATTAATTTTCCTCACTCTGTGCTCTGATTCTGGTAAGGCTCTGGCCAGGAGTGCAGAGAAAAATCGTAGAGGATGAGGAGAAAAAGGAGAGTTAGGAGATGGATTAAATTTCTGGTGTTATCTTACTTTTAAATCAATGTCAGTGTTGTAACTAACCAAACATGATTTTATTTAATTTTAATTTCATAGCAATTCTCTTTTGAATGCCTAAGGCTTTAAAAATATTTTTAAGCCGGGCGTGGTGGCTCATGCCTGTAATCACAGCTACTCAGGAGGCAGAGATCAGGAGGATTGAGGTTCGAAGCCCATCTGGGCAAATAGTTCATGAGACCCTATCTCAAAAATACCTATCACAAAAAAAGGGCTGGTGGAGTGGCTCAAAGTGAAGGCCCTGAGTTCAAGCCCCAGTATCACACACACACACACACAACATTAATTTTATTTTTAAAAATTGCCATTTTTCTGCCATGTATGGTATTTCGTGCCTATAACTCTGCTACTTGGAAGGCAGAAATCAGGATGATTATGGGTTGAGACCAGCCCAGACAAAGTTAGTGAGACCTCATCTCAACCAGTAACATGGGTGTGAGGGCATGCACCTGTCATGCCATCTATGCAGGAGGCTTAAGGAGGAGGATCCCAGTCCAGGCTGGCCTATGGAAAAATGTAAGACCCTACCTGAAAAATAACAATGCAAGAAGGCTGGGGACATGGCTCAAGTGGCAGAACACCTGCCTAGCAAGGGCAAGGCCCTGATGGCACAGTCCTAGAGTCTTGAAAATGGATTGATTTGTTGTATTTCATTAGTAATGGGCAATCCTATTGTGAAGAGTAATGCCACTGTGTAATCCAACTTAGAAATAAATCTGTGACTCAAATGAGTTAGGGTGTTGTGGTTTTTACTTTTTAATTAGATCTTTTTTTAAAAAAAACCCAAAAAACAAAAATACGGACATTGAGTAGGTATTTAATAAGTCAGTGTTTGGGACAGAAGAACAGCTCCTTTCTCAGGCTGCCAGACGAGACAGTCCCAATGTTGGCACAGTCTGTGGGCATGGCTCTGTCTTCCCAACCTGGCAGTGAGGGCAGCTGTAGCATGTGTCACCACACTCTTGATGGGACTTTCCACTTCCAGGAATGTTTTTAACACAGGAACTGGATGGGTGCAACAGTGTAGCAGTGAGACTACCCATTTCCATTTTGTTCAGCGTGATGAAGCCTTCAGAGTGACCCAGATGTCTCTCTGAACGGGCTGGGTGGGTACGTTACTGGATTTTCACACAGTACAATACTATGCAGTCATGAACAGAGAAGTCAGCACACTGTACATTTAAGCAGATGACTGCATTATGAAAAAATGTTATAAGTTTACATTTGCATAAAAATTCAAGGAAATATCCTGGGCTTTGCAAAGTGTTAGCTTTGAGTCATGGAACTACCAGAAGGCTGTCCTATTCTATCTTTTCATGTCTTATGTGCACATTGTTGTTATTTGTGAAAAGTGAAATTATATTGCTTATCCAATCAGAAAAGACAACAGAGATTTCTACTTGGAAAAAAATAAATGTACAGTGAACTGCTAAAGATAGAGGGAATAACATGGGATATTGGCTTCAGTATTCAGTCCAAACTGAGCTGCCTCTGAAATCACCAAGTGCCAGGGGTATGAACAGAGGGACGCATCTCCTAGGAGCTTCTTGGGCTAGATGTGGGGACTGAGGAACACAACAATCTCTGCTTCACCTGACCCTACAATTTGGCAGGTGAAACAGTAGCACCTAGTGGGGCAGTGAAGCCCTGATGAGGGGGAGGTGCAGGTCTGAAAGAAGGTGCAGCAGGAGGAGATGATCCAGGAGGCAGAGGTGTGGAAGGAAGGAGGATCTGTAGGAGGAGATGGACCCAGAGGGAGCTGGAGGTGTGGAAGGAAGGAGGAACTGTAGGAGGTGATGGTCCTGGGGGTAGAGGTGTAAAAGGAGGACCTGATGAACATGGGAGGGCAGGGCTGGAGGAGCAGATGCAGGTCCAGAAGAGCATACTACCTGGCTCTGGTGGGGAATGGCTCTCTGCAGTGAGTGTGAGGGGAGTGGGTCTATTTGGTGAAGAGGTGGCGTGAGGGTGGGGGTTTGAGGATGTTAGGCCATGTGAAGAGCAGAGAAAAGCAGGGTCATTGCAGAGGTGCCTTAGAGCCCTGGGCGAGAGGGTCTCAAATGACTTTGGGGCACCTTGGCTTGGGGAGCGGGCTGGCGTGTGGGTCGGGGCACGCTGTCCTGTGACCTAGGCACATGCATGCTACACAGAGAGGAGATTAACATAATGATGGGTGTTCGTGGAGACAGACACCCTCAGGGTGGGGGAGGGGCAGAAAAGTGTGCAGGGCTGGTTTGTTCCCCTGTGGCATCTGGTATGCTCTTTAGAGAGGGGATGCTTCTTCAGGAGAGCAAATGTGCTGGGTCCCTGTCAGGAAGTCCTGCGTCAGGTGGAGCCAGGCTGAACGCTTGAAGGATTTGCTCCTAGTTCATCTGAACCTAGTCTGAGCCATAGACTATGTGGGTGCTCAGTTTGCAGATGTGATGCCAGGCACAGCATTGAGCTTGCCCAGCTGCAAGACCTTGCCCAGGCCAGTGGCCCTGAGGTGGGGTTTGCAGGTGGGATGTGCAGTAGGTGGGGCTCCCAGGCTGGAGTCCCAGTTCCTCAAATCTAGACTGTGCCATCTTTATTGCAGAGCATGTATGTGGAGTTTTCCATTGCAGTTTTCTTTTTTGGAAACTAGCAGGAACTCAACCTTTGAGCGGTAAGGGACCCTTGACATTCAGCTGGCATGCAGGAGACAGTTGGGCAGGCTGAGTTGGGGGTAGGACCCTGGAAGCTGCCCTGGAGCTGTAGATGGAATTGTGCAAGTGGCTTGCAAGCTGGAGCATGGGGCCAAGTCAAGGAGAAGCAGGAGTTTGCAGGAGGCTGGGCAGGCACAGTCAGGATCCTAGGATCTGGGAAGTCCGAAGAGAAGGATCTTCCCGCCAAGGTTTTGCATGTTGCCTGGAACCAGTGTTTGCTCTTGTGATGTAACTGACACAGAGAGGTGGTTTCCGGGGGTGGCTGTGAATCCTCAGGCTTTATGGCTGTGACTCTTTAAAGAAGGACAAAACAGACAAATGTAGTGTCAGTTGAGGAGATCAGAACTGTTGGACTTGGGTAGGAAAAGTTTCAGCGGTTTCATGTGTTGGAGAAGTGTATTCTTTTCATGTGTAGAACATGACAGATTTTCAAATTATATAGTAGCACAGATTTCCCATGTTGGGTCTTTGTTCCTACTGGTGTATTTTTCCCAAAATACACCAAAAAAAAATAGCTGACAGGCTTGAATGACATAGCATACAAATAATTGTGTTGAGTTTAGAGTGTTTTTGTGGACTGGAAATGTCATGGCTGTAAAATCCCTTCCAGGGTGAGAACTCCCCTCTTGGTTCCCCTGGTCTCACTAAAGGTTGATTATTGACTGTTCCTCTTCTGCCAGCTGAGATCCTCTTGTTCCTGGGGACAGTGCAGTCCTTCCTCTTGCCTTCCCTAGGGCATCAAAGACTCTCAATTGTCTGTTCCCCACCCCTACCTGGCCACCTCCTATCTTGCTGTATCCTGAATATCAAGAAAATTCTGGCTGAGTCTTTTTAGTTTTTTTTTTTTTTGGCAGCACTGGGGTTTGAACTCCAGGGCTTCATTCTTGCTAGGCAGGTGTTCTTACAGTTTGAGTCACTCTGCCAGCCCCTTTTTGTGATGAGTTTTTTTTTTTTTTTCACCAACTGTTTGCTGGGGACTGGCTTTGAACTGCTCTCCTCTTGATCTCTGCCTCCTGAATAGCTAGGATTATAGTTGTGAGTCACCAGCGCCAAGCTAGACTTTTATATTTTTAGGTAGCTTGGCACCTGAGCTGCTTCTTTCTCTCACATACTGTCTTGAATTTATGATCCTCCTGTCTTACCCTACCGCCTGTGTGCTGGGATTACAGGTGTGCATCACCATGCCCATCTTATGGACTGCATTTTCCCCACATTCTTTGAGAAATCTGAAACTATGAGCTCAGCCCAGCTTTGTAGTAGGAACTGTATGGGGCATTTTAGTTAGGAAAGAGATGGATGGTTCAGCCCATGTTCATTATATTATTGGGGGCAAGAGAAGATTAAAAAAAAGGTTAAAAAACAAAAAGCTTGTATTGACTTTGCATTTAAAAGAATTGTGCTGACTGTCCCCTTTCACTAATCCCAAAGGACCATCTGGTCAGTGGAGGAGAGATGTGCCTCTGCTCTCTGTATCCATCAGCTGCCTCCTCTGTCCATCTGCCCAGATCACAGGGACTGGCGTGATGTGAGGGACGTCCCAGCAGATGTGGAGGGTGTGATGCTGGTGAGGGTGTTTGTGTGGAGGGTGCTGATGTACAGAGTCCTTCTTAGTATCTGCCTTCACACCAGTCGGTTTGGTGCACCTGAGTGCTCCTGGAGCTCCCTTCTCCCTGCACTCAACCCAGAGAGGGATGGAAAGTGTGATAATTTACTGCCAGCAGTTCAGGGCAGATAGGATTTGAACTCAGGTCTTTGAACAGTTTGGAATCTGGCTTGAACTGTGGTGCTTTGTGCTGAGAGAGACATATTGTTGCCTCCATGTTTCATAGTTGATACCCCGGACTTTGAGTGGTTACATGACTGGCCTGAACACAGGGCCTGGGAAGTTCCTAAAAGGATCTTTTACACTGTCCTTACTGACAAGAGCCTCGGTGGGGACCCCCTCACTATGACGCTTTCAGAGGACAATGCGGAGCTACTGGGTGCGTGTGCTTCCTCCCCAGCTAGGAAGGATGCCACAGAGCAACAGTGGACATGTGCACTGACTTGTATTTTTCCCTTTTTCAGGTTGCCCAGAAAAGGGGAGTCAAAACCCCTTCTTGCCTTGACCCAGAGGTTCTGTCGGTGTTTGTGCCTCCCTTCACCAGTAAAGAGGACAGTCAGGTGTCCAGTGCAAGCTGCACCACTCTAGGGAAAGGCAGAAGGCGCTCCTTCCGCAAGAGGAGAGAGAAACCCAGGATGGAACCCTGGAGGGGCCTCTCGGGGGACCCCAAAGGGCCTGATTCTGAAGACGTCAGTATCCTGGGTGATGTGGACCTCCTCGCCCTGCCCCAGTTGTGCTTCCCAGGTATGGTGCACATGGTGGCCTTGTGCTGGCTTAACACTGAGTGGCCTGTTCCCAGAGGCTCACATGCCGGGGACAGCTGGCCTTGGCTATCTCTGGTGTGGGTCATGGGACGTGCAGTCTTCTTAGTCTGGGGAAGTTAAAACTAAAGGGAAGTTTCAGTCACTGGTGCAGTCCCCACAGTGTCTGGGAAACTGAGTCCTAGAAGACTGGCTGCGTGGACCGCCAGGTGGCCTGGCAAGCTATGGGACTTTCCGAGGCCTTTCCACTTTGACTGGAAAGGAAGTCCGAGCACTTAAGGATGGTTAGAAGTATGTCCCGTAGTCAGTAGCAGTTCGGTCCCCAGAATGTGCCTGAGCTCCTCTCCCCTCCCCTGCTGTCCATTACTCTGCCTTCAGTCCCCATGTGAGCTGTGTGGTTCAGTTGCTGAGTGCCTTGGTTCACATGTTTTGTCACTGTTCTTGAGAAATGTTCAAGTGGCTGGTGTTGGGCAGTCAGACTAAGGGCTTGGCCCAAGGTCCTATCTCATAGTTCCTTCTAGCAGCCGCAGGGTTATGACCCGGGACAGGTGTTGGGGCGGAATCTTGTGCCCAGAAACACTGCCTTGGCCACTGGGTGAGCCCTGAGGGTGCAATCTTGGGCTGCCAGTGTCATACTGACCCACCACGTTCACTCACCAGGTTCCTCAGTGCGGGGCTGTGGGGCGGAGGGGTATCATGAAGAAGCTGCAGGAGGGGAATCTGGGGGGAGCTGGCTGAAGCAAGGCAGGAAAGGGCATCATGGTGCCCGTGGATACCTGGAAATGAGCATTTTCTGTGTGCTGTGAAGATAATGGTTCATGGATTGCCCAGGTCTTTCACTGGGTGCCTGGAGAGGTTTTCCTTTCTGTCTGTTGTACCCGCAGGGGGCGTGTGCGTGGCCTCGGAACCAAAGGAGGACTGTGTGCACTTCCTGGTGCTCACTGATGTCTGCGGGAACAGAACCTACGGCGTGGTTGCTCAGTACTACCGGCCCCTGCACGTAGGTGGTTCCATTGCTGCCCTGGGAGCTTGGGGTGACGTTTAGTGTCATGGTGAGACACACATGCCATGCACCACCTCAACCATTCTAAAGTGTGCACCTCAGCAGCATTCAGGACGTTCACAGTGTTGTGCAACTGCCACCACCGTCCAGTTCCAGAACATTGTTCTCATCACCCGAAAACCCTGTCTCTCATCCTGCCTGCATAGCCCCCTTCCCTGCCCTAGCCCACTAGGCTTCTTTCTGTCTCCAGATTTGTTTCTGTGCATTTCATGTGAGCGCAGTTGAAGAGTATACAGCTTTGTGCTTTTGGCTTCTTTCCCTTAGCTTATCCACATCATGGCATGTACTTCATTCCTTTTCATGACTGAATAATACTCCACTGCGTGAGTGGGCCACTTTTGATTTACCCTGTGATTTGTTGATTGACATGTGTTTGCCCCTACCTTTCGCCTGCTGTACAAGGTGCTTGGGTTTAGGTTTTGAAGCAAATTTCATACATCGTGGTTTATGGGTCTTGACTGGTCAAGGCCTTGGTGTGTGAATCTCTGGCCTTAAGGAGCTTGTAGGGGAAATGAGGCAACCTAAAAGTGCATCTGCTTTGTGCTTCCAGAGGGTCCCAGAAGCAAATGAACCCAGGCTGCGTAAAAGCAGCCAGGTTGCTCCTTGAAGTGGAGGGGCACCTGGCTCTCCCCTTGGCTCCAGAGGCTAAGGAAGGTGTTCCTCTCTTGCTAGAATTGTGCTTCCATTATGACTTTATCCAAGTGTCCTCAGGCATAAGATATAATCTGGTGACTCTCCCTGAATGCTTAAGGAGTGGTGATGTCTGTGTGACCCCCTCCCAACTGCTGCAGCAGCCCCAGGTGTGGTCCAGGGTGCTTGTGTGGAGCTGTGCACTTCATCCTCACCCCGGCGAGTGAGGGTAGGAACTAACTGCTAGAATCAGCCCTCTCTTCACAGGTGAGGAGACGTTGACACAGGGAGGTTCCGTGATTTGCCTAAGGTCACATAGCAGCCAGGATTTATACTTGAGTAGCCCCAACACAGACTGGTGACCGTTCATTAAATGTTGGTGGATAAGCAAGCTGACTTGTTGATGGATGTTGCTGACTGTCTCCTGGGCTTCTCTTTTTGCTTGGGAGTCTTAGAAGCTCACATTCAAGTTATCATTATACCCCTCCATCCTGCAAAAAGCCCTAAACAAACTCCCCTCCCCTTGAGCCCAGTTGGTGAGCCCAACTGTTGTGCCACTTGTGTGGCTGCAGAAGCTAGGCCTTCTAGAACCCTGAGGCCACACTGTCACCCAGGTTGAAATCCTGTCCCCTCTACCATTGCTCCCAGGCATGTGTATTGAGAATGCTGTGTGGTGCGAGCACCACAGGTCCTTTGAAGCAGAGCCTGTGGTCTCTGTCTTGTTGCACCGTGTTTAAGCTGTACGTCACTTTCATCCGGAGGCTGTGGGCATCTCCAAGGCAGCTCTGTGCCTGCTCTATCAGTAACCTCAGCTCCTTGCGGGGTGCAAATCACACAGGGCCAGTCCATGTCACCTGAAAATCGGGGCTGGGTGGGAGGTGACCCAGTGTGTAGGAGGGGCCTCTTGTCTCTGTACTGAAATATATACCGGAACTTCCAGCACAGGAGGTGACCATGTCGCTGTTGGTCTTTCTCTAGGATGAGTACTGTTTTTACAACGGCAAGGCACACTGGGAGTCGTCACGGCTGAGTGAGAGCACCACTGGCTGCTTTGTGCCCTTCGCAGTGTGCGTGGTGTCCAGGTTTCCCTACTACCACGCTCTCAAGGACTGCCTCTCCTGGTGAGCCCAGGCCTTGGGCATCAATTTGGGTTGGCAGCAGGATCCCTCAGGAAAGCTGATCTTTCTATAAATGACGTGAAATGGTGTGGCAGCAAGAGGCAGGTGATGCCCTCCACGAACTGAGGAGGAGAGTTTTAATATGGAAAGTTCTTGAAAAGACATGTGTTGGGAGAAATTCTTGTCCTAGCTATCTGAGAAAATCAGCAGGCTGCTGTTTGTCTAATGCATTTCATTGACATTTAAGAACTTACAGAATCTGGGTAGAGTCTGTAACCATCTTACTGCTGCTATTTTCTTTATTTTTTTGCAGTACTGCGGATTGAACCCAAGCCTTGTGCTTGCTAGGCAGGTGCTCTGCCACCTGAGGCACTCCCCGGTCCTTATTGATGCTATCAGGGGAAAAATCTGAGGACATAATGAATTCTTGAAAATTATGTTGGATTCCCATCATCAGACTCTGTGATTGTGATGTGGGAGGCTGAGGCCTCTGAACTGGGATGTGAGTCCATCCCCAGGGCATACAGACATTTGCTTTTGAGTCTCATGAAGCCAAGCATTTGTGCAGGCTTGATTAAAGACAGAGGGTGGCACCTAGCAGAGATTCCTTGTGAAGGACACTCCTTTTAGACCCAACACCCTCAATAGTTTTCCCCTGTGTCTATGGGTTTCCCCATCCACAGGTTCAAAAAACACTCAAGAAAAAACTGCATGTGCTCTGAACTTGTGCAGACATTTTCCTGTTACTGTTCCGAAACAACTCAGTATAACAGCTGTTTGCGTGGTGTTTGCATGGCATTGGTCATTACAAGTAAGCCAGAGGTGATCTGGAGTACACAGGAGCTGTGCATAGGTTCTGTCAAGTATGGCACCATCTTATAGAAGGGACGTGGACTGTGTGGGGTCCTGGAATCAACATTCTAAAACCCAGCTGCGATGTACTGTGATGAAACCCACCCAATTCAGTATTTGGTTCAATACATTTCGGCAAATGTGCTCCCCTGTGACCCCCACCACAACTAAGATGGGGAATGTTCATTCTCCTCAAGTTCCCTCCCACCCTACAATTACATCTAGTCTCTGCCATGGGCCACCACGCACCCCACGTACCCTTTCTGTATTTATTTATTATCTGTTTGTTTTGAGGCAGGTTCTCATTATGTAGCCCAGATTGGCCTCAAACGCATGATCCTCCTGCCTTAGCCTCCTGAGTAGCTGGGATTCCAGATATGCACCACTCTGCCTGGCCATCTGTTATAAAGTCATATGCTTAAAAAGTCAGAATGCATTTTGGAAGTAAATTGCTTTAAGCACTTTCCTTCAAGGTGCTGCTGCTGCTGTCTTATTCCTTACTGAAATAGAACACATCGAAAAAATGAAAAAATGCACAAATTCCAGCTGTTTTTTCTTTGTTTCTTTTTCTTTTCTGTTTTTTGCAAGTTGAATACACCCATGAGACTGGCATCTGGAGTAAGAAAAAAACATGACCAGCCTCTCTGCAAAACCCTTCCCCTGCCCCTTCCAAACACCCCCACCCTAAGCCACTCTCCTATACCTTATGAGGAAGGCGCAGAATTGGACATGCAGACCCTGCAGGAGATTTCAGCTTGATTGGAAATGCTGGTGTCAGGGCTAGGGATGGGCTCAGAGGTAGAGCGCTCCTAGCACGCATGAGGTGCCATTCCTGGGTTTCCCTTCTCAGCACATAAAAAACGATGCTGAGGATGACAGTTAGGGTCTTGTTTTTATTCTGACTTGACTCCTGTTTTTGAATTTCAGTTTATTGACTCATCTGAAGCTCTGTAAAGATTTTGAAGTTGACAATTACATAAAAGATTTCTCTGCAAGACTGTCGTTAATACCCAGCCCACCGCCTGGACCACTCCATTTGGTAAGTGAAATGTGCACTTGTGTTGTGTTTCTCTTTGTAAATAGTAAAAGTAGTGTGTTGAAGATGGCTTGAATGTTTTACACTGGTTAAGTTTTAGCTGTGTTTAGATCATGCTCTTTAGGGTCCATGTAGGTGTGTCTTATATACCGCTTCTAAAGATGAAAAGCACACATGTGGCCCGTGCTGGGCGGTATAGCAGAGCACGTGTTTGGGATGGTGTTCGCTGTTAACTTGCCAGCTTCTTCCTTGCTATTCAGAGACGGCAGGGAACCCGGGGCCTTCAGGCTAAGTCGGTCCTTCTAACTACCTTTGAAACCCGCCTTTGATCACTTGTCTTCGCTACTGGGCGTTCTGTTTAATTTGCTAATGCTTCTCCTGTGCAGTGCGGTTGATGACCACTAACTGCTTTTTGCTTTGTGTTATTCTTAGAATTAATAGGCAAACGCTTCCCAGGCTGGGTTCTATTCTGAGAAGTGCTAGTTGCTCCTTCATGACACAAGGTGCCAGGGTGATGTTGGGTGGAGAGGTGGCAGCCCGCGTGCCCTTGTTGAGTGTCAGCTGGCAGGGCTCAGCTTTGCAGGGTGCTTTAGCCACACATGGCCTGCTTCCTGTTTTGTTTTTCACGATGCCTCTTGAACACCTGAGACGTTCAGTGAGCATCTTCCCACTCCAGGGCCACTGGTGTTGCAACGACACTGACTGACAGAGGATCCCTTATCTGAGTGCTCGGGGCAGGGATCTTTTCAGGTTTTGGAATATTCACGTCTCCCTAATGAGACGTCTTGGGGATGGGACCCACGTCTAAGCACAGAATTCCCTGTTTCATACACACCGTGTACAGTATTTTTAGAACACTTGCACTTCAACTGCACCCCAGCCCATGAGGTCTGATGTGGAATTTTCCATGGGCAGCTTCCTGTCAGTGCTCAGAAAGTTTTGGGGTTTGGAGCATTTTGGATTTTGGGTTTTTGGTTTAGGGATGCTGACCCCATCACTGGTATTGACACCACCTGCCTACTGTTTGAAGGGATCCAGGAGGTCAGCGTAGGCCAGGGTTTTCACGTGATACAGGGGCCGACTCAGCAGTACTTTCTGGAACCCACTGCCAGCAGTGCCAACCTAGAGGTGTCATAGATCACGGTCTTGAGTGTGTGTTGGGGTGCACATTTGTGTGATGTACTAATGGAAAGGGAGAGAGGCCAGTGTTTTTTTCTTTTGGTGGCGCTGGGGTTTGAACTTAGGGCCTCACACTTGTTAGGCAGGTGCTCTACCACTTGAGCCGCTCCTCCAGTTCTTTTTTGTGTTGGGTATTTCTTTTGAGATAGGGTTTTGCCCCTCCATGCCCCCCGGGCTGGCCTTGAACCAGGATCCTTCTGCCCTCTGCCTCCCGAGTAACTAGGATTACAGGCATAAGCCACTGGCACTTGGCCAGCTTTTGTTTTTAATGTTTAATTGACTGACATATTTGTTTTTTTGAAATTTTGAGATTTTTTTCATCTAAACTTTACGATTGTTATGTCAGAACCAAGAGAATTTGACTTCATTTATTTTGTTTTATATAAAAAAGACTTTCACATAATTGAATAAGGCTTATATTTTTATTTCTAATTTTGCAATGCTGGGGATGGAACCCAGGGCGTCAACCAACATGTCTATACTGTTCCTTGCTTGGCAGGAAACCACAGAGACTCTAGTTGTTGTTGAGAAGCACTTGCTGGTGTTTTCTCTGTCTCTCTCTCCCCTGGGGATCGAACCTAGGGCCTCGTACCTGCTGGACCAGTGCACTCCCTCTTGAGCTCCTTCTCCAGCTGCTGCACCCTTTCCACTTGTGACAGGCTTTTCTTGTTTCAGCTTCCTTGCACGCACACGTCCTAAGAGGAGTGACTCAGGTGTGGGTAAGGAGGTCTGGAGAGTGGGCGTTTTGTTGTTACGTTTTTCCTGACTTAGTACTTTGCTTCCGTCTCTTGATTTCTCTTCCCTCCATGCTTTGCCTTCGGGGGCTGTTATTCCCTGCAGGCCCTGTTGCTTCTTTCCCTTCAGTCCCTTCTCTGCTTATGCCCAGGTCATTCCTCTCTGCTCCTTAGAGGAGCCTCAGGGCACCCTGGGTGGCGAATTGTGCTGTCTGTAGCACCACATCCAGGAGGATCCCTGCCTTCCTCTCAATTGCATCCAGCCCAGATGGGTTCTTTAAGTAATGTGGCACTCTGTGAAACTTATGAGTTCTTTCAAAATAATGTCGTTTAGAAAAATACAAGGTCTTTTAAAAAGGTTTTGGATGATGAGTTTTAAGTGGCTTGGACTATTCGATAGAAGTACTGAGGACATATAGTACACACTGCACATGAAGAGTAAGATGTCACCATCTAAGAATCCTTTGAGCTGATTTAGTGTTTGAGCTGACTGGGACGGATTTCTGGGTTGATGCTTTTTTTTTTTTTGGTCGCCTAGTGACCCGCTGGCTGATGAGTTGAACTGGAGTTCCACTTAGGCAGAAAAAGTCCTTAAGTACTGATAAGTGTGAACCTTCCCCACTATTGTGCAGGCCCTGGGATGTTGTGTTAATCTGTGACACATCTTCCAGCACAGTGTCTAATGCACGTCACAACAGTGAGCTCGGGTGCGGTCAGCCTCTAACTGTGGGGCTCTCGGTCCTCACAGATATTTAATATGAAGCCGCTCCAGGTTGTGTTTCCCTCTCGAGCGGACCCCGAGAGCCCCATCATCGACTTGGACCTCCATCTCCCTTTGCTGTGCTTCCGACCTGAGAAGGTGCTGCAGGTACGTGGGAGCCCTCTGGGAGCAGTTCACACCAACTGGTTAATGGGGTGTCAGAAGTGTGCTTATTAGAGATGGTTAAAATGCAAGTTCAAATGTACCCAACCAGCATTCGTACTTGTAAATAGTTTTTTGAGATGGGGACTCACTACCTTTGCTCAGGCTGGCCTCCAATTCCTGATCCTTCTGCCTCTGCCTCCTGAGTAGCTGGGATAACAGGTGTGTCCCTGCACCCAGCCTCAAAATCCCACTTTTTGTGGTATCTGTTGGTTTTGAGAAGAGTGTAGAGACCAGGGTAAAGTCTGTATTCTTGTTCTTTGGGGTGGTGTTTCACAAATGTTTCGAGTCCTGTGCCCGGCTGGAAGCATGAGAGAGCACTGTTGCTCCCCAGATCCTGACGTGCATTCTGACGGAGCAACGCATCGTGTTCTTCTCCTCGGACTGGGCCCTGCTGACACTTGTCGCTGAGTGCTTCATGGTTTACCTCCACCCGCTGCAGTGGCAGCACACCTTTGTGCCCATCCTGTCGGGCCAGATGCTGGACTTTGTCATGGCTCCTACATCTTTTCTCATGGGCTGCCATGTCGACCACTTCAAAGAAGTCAGCAAGGTGAGGTACATGCATTTGATTTGCAAGATTACGCTGTGTGAGTCCCTGCGAGGACTGAGGGCAGCTGCAGGGGCGCTCCGTGCTGAGCACTGCAGGAGAGAGGCAAGGGAAGTGCTCTGTAGGGAAGGGCGGGTGCACTGTGCTATGAGCAAGCACACGGCCCCGTCCTGAAGCTCTTGTGCTCGGGCACCATGCCGTGTCCGTGTATGCGTGCACGCGCGCGCGCACACACACACACACACGTGCGTGCATGTGTTGTGCGCCACCTCCTCTGCCCTGGGCGCTGTGTGCGCGCACACTGTGTTCTGTGTCCTTTGTTCTCACGTCATCCCTCTGTCCATCTTGGGACGTGTTCAAGGCCCGTGCATGGTTGAGAACCAGAACCTGTGCCTCTTCTCCATACACTTAGGTTCAGAGTAGCTCCATCGCCTCTGGTGACCTTAGGGAGTGCAGTGCACGCACAGGAGCTGGTGGAGCCCAGCCGCAGGTCCTGCCTCTGCCACTTACTAGTTTTGTAACCTTGGGTAAGTTAGTCGCTCTGCTAAGCCTCAGTTTCCCCATCTGTGAAGGGGGTGGGGACATGTCCTTGGGAGAAGGGCTCTGAGCTGAGGAATCTTCTTCTCCCCACACAGTACCTGGCACATGGCTGAGGCTTGTTGATGGCAGGTCCCTTGTTATTGCTACTTCATTTCTAGGTTTTTTTTTTCATTCAGCTCTTGTGTTCATTACTATTACAGAGCCTCCTCCTAGAGAAATGCTTGCACACGAAGTGTGCCGCTCACAGTATCGGAGGGGTTGTGAGCCCTGCTGAATGCAGGGGTGCCTCCTCTCTGAGGCTGATCCTTGGCGAGGCATCGAACCCCTTCCTCTAGTAGCTGTGAAAGGACAGAGCCAACCTCGTTGTTCTGGTGAGGCTCAAGTGGGCAAAAGAACATCACCAGGCACACAGTAGGTGCCTAATAAGGGGTAGCTAATGACTGTTAATGCTCTTTGGAGATGGTGTATGTGTAAATGGCAGTCTGTCCTCGTGACAATCTGCTGTGGATCTGTGTGGTAAATGCTGTGAGAACACTAGTGGTAACAGGCAAGGTGGATTTGTGTTTGTTTGTTTGGTTATACTGGGATTTGAACTGAGGACCTTGCACTTGGTAGGCAGGCACTCTACCACTTGAGCCATGCTCCCATCTGTTTTTACTTTGATTATTTTTGAGATAGGGTCTCACATTTAGGCCTCGGCTGGCCTGGATTTCACTACTTGCCACATAGCTGGGACGACAGGCACACACCATCACATTCAGCTTGTATTGGTTGAGATGGGGCCTCATGAACTTTTTGCCAGGTCTGATCTTGAACCATGTTCTCTGCCTCTTAAGTAGCTAGTATTACAGGCGTGAGCTGCTGAGCCTGGCTGGATTTGTTTGTGAAGTACTTTGTTGAGATATGATTAATATGCCACTAAGTAAGCTGTACAGTTGAGTGAGTTTTAGTGCCTTTGTAGGGTGGTACTGGTGTCTCAGTGGACATTTCATTACCCACACAGGAGCCTGTGATGCATCAGCAGTGCCGTCCTCCCTGAGCCGTGCGGCTCCTCCATGTCTGACATTTCATTGAGTGAGTCCTTCAACACACGCTCCCGTGTCTGGCTGCTGTAACTTAGCATCCTGAGGTTGTAGCATCGGTCAGGACTTGGGTGCCCAATGGGACTCCACTGTATGACTACTATATTTTGGAAGAGTCGATGGACAGCTGTCAGCTTGATGATGGTTGATGGCCATTCGGTGACTGCTGACAGTGCTGCTGTGGACGTTTGTGGATGGGTTTTGTGTGCATAGGGTTTTCATTTCTCTTGGGTCTGTGTTGGTGTCAGTGCCACACTGAAGTGTGAGGAGCCCTGGTGGCAGCGTGGAAGGTCCCTATTTTCCACATCCTTGGCATCACCCTGTTGTCCTTTTTGATTCTAGCTTTCTAGTGGTGCAAGCCGGCAGCTGGTTGTGGTTTGGATGTGCATTTGTTTCCCTGTGACTGAAGGTGCTGGGTGTCTTTCCGTATGTTCATTGGCAGTTCTATAGGGTAGGTTTACATTTAACCTTGTTTTTCAGACATGGTCTTGCTGTGTAACCCAGGCTGGTCTTGAACTCATGATCTTCCTGCCTCAGCCTCCTGAATGCTGGGATTTTAGGTGTGTGCCACCACATACAAAAAAAGAATACAGAGAATGCTGAGGGCTCTTTAGCAAGCTGAGATCAGTCCACTTCCAGACTCCTTGTCCCTGCAGCCCTACTTCCTTGGAGGTTTAAAGCAAATTTCCACCTCCAGGCGCTTCCTTCCTCAGGTATCCAGAAAGGCAAGAGGCACTGGGCTTGCCCTGGCCCAGCCCTCCTGCCAGTGGAGGGCAGGTTTCTGTGTTGTTGCCAAAGCCGGTGACTCACCTGGGGAAAACACACTTTACGAAAAGGCCATTCAGACCTCTGTGGAAGGAATGGAAAAACATCAGCCTATGTGCCCTGTGGATGAGAAAAAATTAGGCCAGGCTCTGAAGCTCAGAGTTGTGTTTCTTTTTTTTGTTCCTGGGGAAAAAGCCGCCTTGTTTGGGCTCCTCAGGAGGCAACTCCTGACACATTTCCTTAGCAATTCCAGTCAGCCATCATGCAGGAGACTGGCTTAGTGATTTATCCATTGTGGAAGATTCCAGGAGCAGCAGCTGTTCCTAACCAAAGGCATTTTGGGTGTTTTGTTTTTCCTGGCTGGTGTGGGTCTGCAGGAGTGAGCTGGATGCAATTCTCTAGTCTCCTGAGGAGGCGTACCTCCAGCCAGCCTCCTGCCTGACACCTATGCAGGGCGAGGCTGTGTGCCTTTCGTGCCTTGCGGGAGGAGGATTTTGTGGGTTTGCCCTGTAAGACTTGGGTCAAGAGGAAGCTGATATTTGCTTATAGTGGGTCCAGAATGCAAGGCAAGAGTGGTGCCTTCAGAGAGCAGCTGAGAATCTCAGAGGTCCAGGGCAGTGCCACTGTTTGCATATTTTGTCACAGATAAGACTTTACAAGAAACTGCATACATATTCCAAAAATTCTTCCTGTGTGTGGTCACTTGGACCAGGACCCTGCCTGTGCTCTGGTTCTTGGGCAGCTGATGAACACATTGGGTGTTGAATGTTGATGGCATACTCAGTAGAGTTCTGGAATGTTCCCTCAGGACGCCATGCAGTGTTTGCACCAGGGTTGCTGAAAACTGGACACCATGCTTTGGAGTCTTGACCCAAAGAGAAGGGCTTATGGGTCCTCAGATAGTGGCATATTCAGCCTTCATGAGGAAGGGGAGTCTCACCCCTGTGATGATACATGTGAACCTTGAAGACACTGCTAAGTGACAGAAGCAATGATAAGATAATACTGTACGATTTCACTTGGATGGGTCCTTCGAGGAGTCAGATTTATAGAGACAGGAAGTAGAATGGTGGGTGCCAGAGGTCAAAGTGGGGGTTGTACAGTTGTGTGATTAACACTATTGAACTGTATGCTGGAAGTGGTGAAGATGGTAGGCTACATGTGTGCATACCTTACCGCAATTAGGAAAAAAAAGAAACATATTTAATGATATTTACCCCATGACATAACTTATATGTGTACTCTTTTTTTTTTTTTGCATGGTACAGAGGATTGAACTTAGGCCGCACACATAGGCTGTGTGTACACATTAAATAGGGTAATTTAACACTGATATTCTTAGTGAATGCAAAATATAGTTGTGTATTTTTAAAGATGTGCATAAGTTCAAAGACCCTCACATCGATCTTTGCTTTCTAGGAAGCTGATGGTTTAATTCTGATAGACATTGACCGTGGGAGCATCACCTGTTCTCAGTCCTCGGACAGCGGCCTGGATATTCCTGAGGTCCCTTTGCTGGCAGCACAGACGTTTATTCAGAGGTAAGGGAAAAAGTGTGTGTTTGAGAACAGCTTTGTCCACATCCTGAATTTGCTACTTGGAGTATCTTTGTTAAGTTTACGTTGCTGATAGATGTTTTACATATCATTATTTGTGAAAACTTTTAAATAAAAGTGATTTGTATTTGTTCTGATCTTGTCTAAATACAAATTATGACCTAACAGAGTTGGGGGACAGTGGCATCTCCTGACCACTATCCAGTGCCTCAGGGGTCCTGTGCTGTGGTCTTTCAGGTTTTCTTCCTCCTTCGGTATGTGTCAAAGCCCTCTAAATGCTGGAGTCGGCAGGGTCTGTGTAGTAGTGACAGGACAGTGGGGCCCTGCCCTGTGGCGCTCAGTCCCTGGCCCTAAGCCTGTCATCTCTGTCTATCCCAGCTCTCTGTTGGGGCCTTTATTTTCCATTCTTTGATTTGTAGCTGTTTCTGTTTTTTATCATCTTTATCACTAAACTTCGTTGGCTTAGAGCAGGCCTCAGTGTACTTCCTGAAGACTGAGGCTGTGGGCTCTATGGTCTGTGTTGGTGCAGAGGCCTGCGCTCTCCCATGGTGGGCGGGGAGTGTAATTGCTGGCCATGTCTGCTGGCCATGTCAGGATGTGGTGTGTGCTGGGGTGCCTGGCTACCCTGGCTCTGATGAGCCGTAGCAGTCAGGTTACCTTGGAGTTGCTCACAGAGCACTGTTTTCTGTAGGAGTTTTGCAAAATGGTAGCAGGAGACATCCTGCTTTGCAGCTGTGGGGTTCGACTGTCCTGATACCTGTGTGGGTAGAAGTGACGCTGGTATGTGGGGTGTGAGTACACACAGTAGCTGCTCTCAGGCTCTGTGGCAAACAGCCAGGCTGTGCTGGGTCACTAAGGGCAGTGCTAATTTCCCCTGGCCCTGCTGTTGTCTTTCTGTTGGGGAGTCAGAAGCAGAGGGAGTGGAACGCTGTGGGATTGAGCTTTCCCGATTTCTGACTCTACCTTCATATGGATTATTCCTTCAACCTGGATGGTTTTTGCAAAATACAGGCTGAGTATCCCTAATCTGAAAACTTCAGATTTGTAATGCTCCAAAATCGGATACTTTCTGTGCACCAGCATGATGCAACAAGTGAATTATTTCCTCCCCACCTCATGCAGCAGGTCAAAACACAGTGTCACTTAAATTTCTGTATAAAATCACCTTCAGGCCATATGTAGCAGGTGTCTATGAAACAGAAATAAATCTCATGTTTACACCTGGGTCTCCTCCCAGTTTGAACTCAGGGCTTCACATGTGCTAAGCAGGCGCTCTTACTGCTTGAGCCACTCCGCCAGCTCACCTATCTTATTATGTGTATGCAGCTATTCCAAAATCTGAAATTTGAAACACTTCTGGTCCCAAGGTTTTTTTTTGCAGTGCTAGGGCTAAAACCCAGGGCCTCGTGCATGTTAGGAGAGTGCTGTAGCACTGGGCCGCATCTCCAGCCATAAGCATGTTGGAAAAGGGACCCTCAGCCTGTGAGTGCACCCTTTATCATGGTTTCTTCCATCCTAACCAATTAAAAAAGCCCCTAAACCAAACTATGATGGGAGTGGGGAAGTTTGCCCTCTGTGCCTATGGGAGCTTGTGTCACAGACTCCTCATGTAGCCACCCAGCATTTGGGCCAGGCTCTGAGTGAGGAGCTATGCTGGGAATGTCCCTTGTGTGACATGTAAGACGAAACTTACATTCCTACTCTTGCGCTTACTTCCTGGTAAGCCCCTGCTGCTCCCTGTGGTGGGTGTGTTCCAGGACTGACCTGGCCAGCTGTCAGTAGAACTTCTCAGGTGTTTGCTCTACCCAAGGATTCCCAACTTGCGTCTGCATGGTCGGCATTCCAGAATACAAACACACAGGTGTGGGAGGTGGCTACCAGCTTTGGTATGTGGGGTGGGCTGGCTCTTGTGTGTCCTCATGGGGACTTTGTTAAAAACAGAACTAACCTGTGTATGGTTGGGCCTCCAAGACTCCCCCACAGAATCCGGGGTGCAGATATGCATGCACACATAGATGTCTGGCCAGAAGGGATGAGGGGCAGTGACTTTTTTTCCCCAGCCTCCCCAGAGGACAGCTCCTTCTTGTTGCCCTGCTCTTTTGTCTTTGTCACTTTGGTCAGAAGTTTGTCACAGCTACTTGCTGCTTCCCCACCCTCCTGAGGTTAGGAGCAGGGATCCCCAGGTCAGGGCTGTGGTGCTGGCTCAGTGCATGTGTGGGAGGAAAGGATGGGGTTCAGGGGCGTGGACGGCTTCTCCTCCAGATCCAGCCATTCCAGCACTGGAGAAAGTTCAGGAAGACCCTGCCTCTTAGGCAGCTCCTCCTCATGCCCCGAGCAGGGGAGCTGCTGGTATTTCCTTCTTTGAGCTGCTCTGTTCCTGTGTTCTGCTAGATGAAAGGCCAGTTTGGTGCTGATAACTTGGCAGTTGTCACCACCCTGCCAGGCTGGGGAGGTCAGTAAAGTCTGATCACACGGTTGGTTCATCCAGGGCTGGGAGCACCTATCTTGTGGGGAACTTCTTGGCACATTAGGAGTGAATGCACAACTCCCCCTACCAGGCCTGCACCAGCTCCTGAGACTGATCATTCGGACTTGGTCTCACAGCTGGTCCCTGGCTGGCGCTGAGGCAGGCTGAAATTAGGGAAAGTCTGGGACTCATAGAGACTTAATACTGCATTTCAGATTAATCACGCTCTGGCTCAGGGACACCCTCACCTGGCAGGGAACCCCCCCAACCCCTCCCCACTCGTTGATTATTGGATGGGAATCACCTGGTTCTGCCCTGTCCATGGGTTTAGCACAGGCTTTAGAAGCTCAATCTCTAGGCCTCCAGATTCCACCTGTACCCACCATGCTCCCCTTTGTATTTCCCTTCCCTAACTTTTAATAAACTACATTTACACCCACATATCCTGTCATGGATTCTCCCTGTGGGACTCAGGAATTTGGAAGTCTTCTGTGCAGTGATGTTTGGAGGTGAATGAACTCTTCTGGCCATTAGTTTTTAAGGACTGGATGGGTAGTCACAGCATCCTGAAGTGTCTGTCTCATGACAGCCGGCCCTGCTGGGGGGAGCAGCAGTCATGGGGCTGTGCTTAGGCGTTGTGACCTCGTCTTCTTCCTTCTAGTGTCCAGAGCCTCCAGCTGCATCCTGAGCTGCACCTTGCTCACCTGAGCTCCAGCACAGACCTGAATGAGGGCCGAGCTCGCAGGCGAGCCTGGCAGCAGGCGCTTAACTGCCACATCCAGCACATCGCTCTGCAGCTGCTTGTTGGCATCTTCAGGTATTTCACGAGCACTCAGCATCTTCCAGGTGACAGCAGGGCCCTAGAACTCAGGCCACCCAAGGCATTCAGCAAACCAGAGAGGCCCTGCCTCAAGTTTCCCTTTCCACGATCACGACCAGCAGCTTATGATGGGGAGGTTTTTGTTTTTGTTTCTGCAGAGCTGGTGCTTGCTAGGCAGACACTTTACCACTTGAACCACATACCAAAGTTTACTCTGACCTTGCCTAGTGCCCTCCTAGTCCTGTTGTAGGTCTGTGTGTCCCATCAGTGGCCCTGTGGATAGCTGCTTCAGAGGTAGCCCCCAGGAAGCAGTGTCTGATGACAAGCCCACCAGAGAGTTGTCTGTCCCAGTGGCTCATTTCCACAGGTGGGTCATCTCCAAGGGACTCCCAAACCACATAAGGCAGCCCCTAAAAGGGGACCTTCAGGACAGATGAACACTCAGTGTTTGCCCTTTAGCAAGTTCTGTCTTTCTCTTTGGTCCTGTCTGTGCCACTGTTAGCCACCTCTTCATTCGATTGCTTCCCTAGCATTGGTGCTAGAATCCATTAAGTAGATGGTGACGTGTGCTTATTTTCATATGGCACCGTATAGGAATAGAGCTGCTTTCTGGCCTAATGCACAGTCATCGAAGGAATTCTAGTACTGTGGGGGTGGTCAATAATTGTTAGTGCAATTATTCTTTTCTTTCTCTTGCAGCATCCTTGCCTCTTCTTGCTGCTTTCTCCCTGACCTGTAGCAAAGAAGGCGCCTGACACCGTCTCTCGTCTGTTTCTTGGGCTTCTGCTCACTTGGGAGGGTTAACACAGAGCCTGTCGACTTGCAAAATCGAAATCTTAATGGCTTGGTTCTTTTGATGTTGTTACTTACATAAAGCAAATAATTTATCAGGAAAACAGGATTGTGTATTTCGGACAGGTTGCGTTACTGCTTTGCCAAAGAGTGTGATTAACATGGTCCTGGATGTATTGCTTTTCTTTTGCTCTCTAGAGACAAATATTTCATGATCAAGGCATTTTTTAAAAAATACTTAAAATATCAATGAGTTGACTTAACAAAAAAGCAAGAAAATATGCTGTAGGTTATAACACTTTATGTCCCTAGATGAAACAGTTTTTCCACTAGACACATAAGTACTGACCGTGACCTGGCAGGCCATTGACCTTCTTTGTAGGATGTCATTTTAGATCTGGGAGCTCATGTGTTGAAATCCCATGGACTGTTATCACATGAGGAAATGGGGTATGGTTGGTGGCAGGGGAGAGGCTTGCAGGGGAGGATGAGCCCATCATTCTTGCTGCTACTAAAAGCAATGTGTTTTCATGTACTTAAAATACTCCAGTACTTAACGCTGCCCCTTTCTTTGTTAGGGAGGTGAAGAATCACTTGAACTACGAGCACCGAGTGTTCAATAGTGAAGAGTTTCTTAAGACCAGAGCTGTCGGGGACCAGCAGTTTTACAAGCAGGTAAAGGTGTGGTGCTCTGACAGGCCTGCCTATGTTCAGTCTGTTTTACTTAGCTGCATTTAACCAGTCCTCAAAGTAAGGACTTTCAAGATCTGTTAATATTTTATTATTGATTAACTTTTCCAAAAAAGTTTGTTTTCCCGTGTTCCTTTTGATCCTTTGGCCATATCTTATTTTTAAAATGAGCTTTTAGAAAACAATTTACAAATGAAATTCACCATGGTTGGAGGCATGGCTCAAGCATAGAGCCCCTGCCTAGCAAGTATGAAGCCCTGAGTTTAAACTCTAGTACCGCCAAAAACAAAACAAAAACCAAAATACCATTTTCAATAGACAGTTTGATGGGCTGTGACAGGTATGCATATCTGTACCCATATCATTGTCTGGGCATCCCATTTCCATCCCAGTGCCTTTCACCATCACCCCATCACTCTCCATCCCCATGCAGCCTGTGACTCTCTGTCCCTGGATGAGGCTGGCCCTTTGAGGGTTTCCAGCCAGCGCCATCCCTGCTTTGATTTTTTGGACTTGGCTTTTGTGGGCAGTTAGTTACTTGCAACCTTCTTGGTCCTTTAGTGTTTGTTTTCATGCCTCTGTGGTGGTCAAGAGCAGCATCCCTCCAGGGTACCATTCACTTAGTAGTGTGTGATGTAGTGGCCCTCAGCACCTTCTGACCAGCCAGCACTTTTCCTCTGCCATTGTGTGTGTGACTCCCACCCTCTGAGCTCGGGGAGTCATCTTGCTTTCAACCTCCCAACTTTCTCCGCCTGGTCTGTGCAGTTTCCCCTGCGTGAGCAGCTCAGTGCTCAGTAGAGGACCAGGAGATGGGGTTGGGGATATGTTGATGCCACATGCAGGTGCTGATGCTGAGCAGTCAGGTGGACAGATGTGCACAGCATCTGAGCATGGCTGGCCCCTAACTGACATTAGAAGTCCTGAGCCTCGGTGAGGTCACCAAGGGCAAGTGGCAGAGAGGACAGGAGAGGAGAGAGGAAGGCGCAGGCTCAGTCTAAGGCCTGCTAAGGAGGTCAGGGTGGAGGAGGGCCAGAAAAGAGGTGAGAAGTTGCTGCAGGGCTCAGGAGGAGACCCTGGGCAGTGGTAGGGTGGAAGCCAGGGAGAGGAGAGAGCTTGACACACGCTGCTGGCAAGTCCCCAATATGAAGGTCCCACTCACTGTGACAGAATGGCTCAGAGGCAGCTGTGGAGACTGGCATAGGATGGCTTCTGTGAAGTGGTGGAGGGAGAGACCAAGATGTGAGTTGGCGGGGGGGAGCTTCCTGGGGGTTTGTCTGCAGAGGCCATAGGATGGAGTGGCACCTCTCTCACCTATCAGGCCCCACCTGTTGGGTCTCACCTGCCACCTCTTCAGAAGACTTTTTCCTCTGTGGCAGTCTGAAGGTGGCTTCCCCCTGCACCTGTCCTATCAACTGAAACCCTGGAAGGTGAGGCCTGACTCATGCACTCACCTGCACACCCTCAGAGCTTGCAGGGCCTGCAGTGGATGTGGAAACCTGTGCCCTCACCCCTTCCGTTATTCAGGTCCTGCTGGCTTTATAAACTGGCAAGTCCCCTCACCTCTTTTTCTTTAATATTCCTAAGTGTGTTTCTGATGCCCACAGTGTATACTCACTAAATAAGAAAATAATAAGAAAAAATTACCCATAACCCAGCATGCACTACAGAGAAACCGTGTGACACTGGAGGATGCCCGGTGTTGTGGACTTGTGGTTGTGGCCATTTCTGATAGGCTCAGCCCCGTACATGAAGCGGCCCTCACATACCTGTCACCATAGGCCACAGCTTTCTGCCATTCTTTCCCTTTTCCCTTTCTCCACTTGTTCTTTCAGATATTTCTGTTTTGCTTTGTGTGCCTCATGGTTTCCTCCCTGTTCACATGCATCCTGTGGGTCTACAGCTGTAAGTTCGAGGGCTGCTGTGTAAGCTGCTTCCTCTTCTACCAATGACGCAAATGCTGGCACCCTGGACAGGCCTGTGGACCACTAGAACCAGGGACACTGACACACAAGGTCCAAGTAGCAGTTTACCCGTGAGGAATCAAAGATAAAAAGCCCAGAGCACTATGGGGACCAGGCCTGATCCTGGGTTCTGGGGCCTCCACATCGCTCAGGTCCACCTCTTCTGCCCTGTCCTGTGACCTTCTTGATGTCTTCTTCTTCGTGGTGATCAAAGTTAGTTTGTGCCCCTCTAGCTGGGGCAGGGCTACCTGTGCAGGCTCAGGGCCTCCACCTGAGCGTTTGCCCTTGCCCTTCTGCATGGCCGGTTCCCTTCTTGCCCTTTCCCACCAGCATTTTGCATTTGGGTTTTCCTGCTAGTCCCTCCTGGGACCCCAGTACTGTGTGGATTTGGGTACCTCTTCCCTTGCTCCATTGGGTGGCCCACAGATCTGTGAGCCTCCTCCTCTCCACACCTCTCACCCACATGCCATGGTCGGGAGAGTAGGTGTCCAGGTAGAAAGAGGACCCCAGTGTTTGGAGAGTCCCCTTGTGAAGTGAGATTCCTCCCATGCCATTCAGCTCCTGAACCTGGTGGTCTGAGGACAGCAGGTGTAGCCAAACAGTGTGCATGTGGGTGCCTGCATCTAGTGAAAAGCCAGGATCCAGGTCCTGGGCTCACCATGCCTCTGTGGCCAGCTGTCTGCACTTTTGAACTTGTGGTTTTTTGAATGCAGGATAGGTGGGTGAACTTTGGGGGCTCTTGGCAGATTAGAACAGATTGTGGAGACTCCGGCCTCTAGGTACTGCTGTTCAGAGGAGCCAGTGCTGGCAAGCCCCTCCCAGCCCTCCGCTCCTGTCTGCGGGGCTGCCGTGGGCATTGAGCAGAGAGAGAGGGGACCCTGAGGCCTGTCTGTGACACCTCTTCTCATCTGCTCCAGGTCTTGGACACCTACATGTTCCATTCCTTTCTAAAGGCCCGGCTCAACCGCAGGATGGATGCCTTTGCTCGGATGGACCTGGACACCCAGTCGGAGGAGGACAGGTGCTTCATCCTTGGGCTTCATCCTGGGGATCTGGGGGTTTGAGTAGCACAGTTTTATTTGAATGGAAAAGCCTGGTGTTTGGAAATTCACCATGAGGTCGTGACAGGCAAGCATTAAGTGTGTCCTTGTTTTTTGGGGGAGTGCTCTGTGTGCTGTGCCCCATCTCTGTCCATGTCATGCCCTCCTTGTCTTCACTGTCTTCCACATTCCCGTTGCGAAGCCTGCTTTCTTCTTGCCCTTCTTGTGCTTTTCCTGATCTTGTGTGCATGTGTCAATTGTGAGTGATGTGCTGTTTCTCAGACAGTGGGCTCCGTGGGGCTCAGGCTCTCCTTCCCTGAGCCCTGCATGAGGTGGGGTTTAGGCATTGTGCTGTTTGCACTCGAGTGCCAGGCTCTCCCATGCCAGCCATTACACTGGGAACAGTCACAGCTGAGGCTCATTCTTCAGTCAGTGAAGCAAGCCCTGCTTTCTCCACCCCAGGATAAACGGGATGCTGATAAGTCCACGAAGGCCAACAGTGGAGAAGATGGCCTCAAGGAAATTCTCGCCCCTGCACATCACGCACCGGCGCATGGTGGTCAGCATGCCCAACCTGCAGGACATTGCCTTGCCTGAGCTGCCACCCAGGAACTCCTCGCTCCGGATAGTGGACAGTTCATACTGCAAAAGCAGCAGCCCTGGTGAGGAAGCCACCCACCTGCACTTGCTCTGCTCCGGTCCCACAAGGCATCCAAGAGACCACAGCTTGTTCACAGGAGCAGGATGGGTTTAGCATGTTTAATTTAGTGGAATTATTTGAAATCTCTAGAGTATTCATTTTGCAAGCCACATTTATTGTAGGCAATGATCTCGTCTGTATTTCCAGTGCCATCCCTAAAGATAACTTTGCAGTTTGGTGCCTTTCGCATAGATAATGCTGTGTGTGTGCATAAAGTGCATATTCACACATGCAGAAGTCTGATGCCATACAGCAACCATTAGGCCTCTGGTGAGCACCAGGCCCTTTCTAGAGGCAGGGGCTGCAAAGGACCTTGTGGCCTGTGCTCCTTCAGTTGGCTGTCCCAGGATGGAGAGAGAGAACAGGTACGTAGGTTTTAAAGTTGGGATAAAGTAGAACAGGTCTGGGGGCCATGCAGGGTTTTCACCCACAGATGCAGACGAGTGGCAAGGCCAGCCACGCCTTTCCAGTAGGGGATGGTGATGCTGCCTTAGTGTTGGCTGCTGCTAGCTGTTCTTGTTCTGGAATCAAAACCAGGGCTCTCATTTCACCCCTGTGGTGTGCAGATTCTGTGTGCGGGGCCTGGGAGTGGTGCCTTTGACAGGACAAAGTGACGGGGGCACTGCTCATTTTTAAGGTCTGTGCTAATGATCCACCATTTTCCCTTAATCTTCTAGTTCTGGATGTGGTTCCTAAATCCACATACACGTTCAAGGTTCCAGACGTCCACTTCCCGCTGGTGAGGCAGTGCGTGCAGGCATATTACGCGGACTTCGCCGCCCTGCTGAGCAAGGCAATGGGCCTTCTGGCCCCTGATAACTCTCTGCTCCTGGCCAGGTATTTCTACCTGCGTGGTCTTGTCCACCTGATGCAGGGACAGCTGCTGAGTGCACTCTTGGATTTCCAGAACCTGTACAAAACAGACATACGGATTTTCCCGGCTGACCTTGTTAAGGGGACAGTGGCATCCATGTCCACTCCAGAGCGTGCCCAGGCTGAGCGGACACCTGAGCTGAAGAGGCTCATTACTGAGGTCCTGGACAAGTCAGGTGAGGCCCCCAAGGCGGATGACCCCGTGAAGAACTTTGAGTTGCCCAAGCAGCACATGCAGCTGGACGACTTTGTGAAGCGGGTTCAGGAGTCCGGGATTGTGAAGGACACCACCATCATCCACCGCCTGTTTGATGCGCTGACCGTCGGTAAGCGCTCATGCCACCTGCACCCACTGAACATAAGGCCCTGTGAGTCTGCAATCCAGTCAGTGCAGAGTGAAAATATTGGGAAAAAAAACAAACCCAAGAATGTCTTTAAAAAATTTGTGTCTGAAGGCTGAGGGCGACGCTCAAGTGTCATTGCTTCCCAAACAGTCCGAAAACAACTACTTGTATAGCGTTCCCATCATATTGGATGGAGGTGGCCCGGAGGTGACGTAAGGTATACGGGCGTGTGTGCAGGCTGTATGCAAACATGACCTCACTGCATATGAGGGACATGAGCAGATTTTGGTTATCTGTGGGCTCAGATTCTGAGGAGCATTTTGCTGGTGGTCACTTCCATGTGCCGTGCTTGGGGAGAGAGATGAAAGGCATGAAAGGCCAGCCTGTCCCCAGCTGGGTGTGGTGGACAGAATTCTGTCCAGCATCAGTGGAGGGGCCAGAGCTTTCCAGGAGGCAAGAGGGTACAGGGTAGCACCATGTGTGGCGCATGGAGGGAGACAGGTGCTGGCAGAAAAAGCCCCAGGGCTCTCATACACCCAGTACCCTCAGGAGGAGCCTGTGCCTCTGCCATGTGGGGTTGAGCTGGCAGTGCAGCCATTGGAACTCACAGGGCAACGCTTCTCACCTGATGCTCTTGGGTGTCTTAGGCCCAGGCTCCTTCTGTTTCCTCTGCTGCCCTGGCATGGCCTTATCACCCAGTCACATGGTGGCTGGTGGACCCCAGAGGTAGAAGAGGGCCTGCCCTCTAAGGCCTCTCCTCCTTCTATCTTTTCAGGAAGGTTTATGTCATGTGGCCACCCAGATGGAAGGGAGTCTGGGAAGGGGCTGCCCTGGAAACAGTAGGGGGTCCAGGATGGTACAGGCAGACCTGGTGGGTGAGGAGCCTTAAGTGCCCCCCCAGCCCCCTGCTGGCCCTGTGGACCTTGTGACCTCGTTTATATTGGAGATTAAGTTGGAGAGGTCCTTGGTTCTGGGATCCCAGCACCTGAAGTCACTGGCACAAAGCATCCCCAAATGTGCATTTTGGTCAAATGGCTATGTTAAAAAATATCAATATTCAGTCAAAGCCCCATGTCACCATCTTAGAGTAACTCATGAGACATAAGCACACACTTGAGATTTTATTAGGAATTATTGTTACAGTGTCATGGTCAGTGTGTAAATAGTCAGGACCCATCCGTGTTCCCTTACACACTGCGGCTCTCGGGGCACTACAAGGTGGCTGTCCTGGAGCTAGGTGTCTGTAGCCTGCCCTTGTGCGGGACGCTGTCTGCAGGCTATTGAGATGTGGGTGGGGGGGTTTGGGGGTGACATGACAGGTGCACACCTGGCACATTTTTCTGAAACTAGAGACAGGAAGCATGCTGATTCTGTTCACGTGGGCTTGAGCAGCCCTGTGTGTCTGAGGTTGCGGTGGGCTGTACAGCGACAGGGACCGTTGGTGTGTGCCGGTGTACGCTTTGGCCATGGTGTGTGAGATGCCTTTGTGCACGTGGTGGTTGCACACATGCTGTGCTGTGCAGCTGTGAACCGTGGGGGGTGGGCACACGTGGCCAGCCCTGCTGTGGTCCTATTGGGGTGATGGGGCATCCTTGGCCCTGCTCCTCCCGCCCCGCGTGGGGCTTCTGGTGTCCAGGGCCCAGGAGCACTGAACTCTGAGGCCAGTGCCACTCCCAGCACTGCCCGAAACCTTGAAAAATGTATGGAGGGCTGAGTGTGCTGACACGTACCTGTGACCCACCCACTAAGGAGGAAGAAGTAGGAAGACTGTGGTCTGAGGCTGGCCTGGACAAAGTGCAAGACCTCATTTGAAAATCAAAAAGGCAAAAGAGCTGGAAGCAGAGCTCAAGTAATAGAGCACTTGTCTAGCAAGCCTGAAGTCCCAAGTTCAGAAACCCCAGTACTACTGTATCTATATAAAATGGCTTGCATGGTGTTGCAAACCTGTAATCTTGGCTGCCTGGGAAGCAGAGGTAGGAGGATTAAGTTCTGAGGCTTCTCTTGGGCAAAGTTAGCGGGACCCAACCTGAAAAACAAACTTAAACATAAAGGACTAATTCAGCCGTTGTAAACGTCTTAAAAATACAGAGAAGCAAAAAGAAAAACGAATCAAATCAGAATGGCGCCACCTGATGGCGATCCCATGCAAGCATTCTGTTGCTGGCGTTGCTGGTGACTCGCCTTCGTCCGCCTCCGACTGTCCTTGTCTGGAAGTCAGAAAAAAAAGTCCAGGAAGTCTCCAGAGCCTGTCATGGTACCCACTGTGCATGAAGCTGGCCCCTTATATGCTGTGTGCTGATGACTTAGTTGTTCCAGTGCCATTGTGGCAATAGTTGGCATCTTGTGGAATGGATGCAGTGCAATCTGGGCTTCCGGCCAGGCTGGTGATGGGACACAGCACTTGCCTGAGCAGGGGCCAGGAGGGATGGCTGGCCCACAGACACAGATGGCAGCCAAGCCTGGCAGATGTCCCTGGCTGTGGCACTAGGCTCTGTCAGTGTAGGGCTTTCCCTCCATGCCTCAGTTTTCCAGTTTGTGCAGAAGCCTCATGATCATAACAGCCCCAGAGGTGGAAGCTGCAGAGCGCGTTTCTTGGTGGGTAGTGGTGGCTGAGTGCAGTGCTGCCATAGGGGAGCTGTGTGTGCAGGTTGATGGTCCGCCAGCCAGGATCATCTCAGGAAAGGCTGCACACTGGGTGGTCACCTGGGTATTGAGGGATGGGTAGGAGTTTTCTGGTCTGAATAATCAGTTTAAGCATGTGCAGGGGCACACACAACATGGCCTGTTTGGGGGCATATTGCTATGACTTGGGTGTGGGGTGTGAAGGGGCAGGGGCCTGACCCCGGGGAAGTTTTGGGCCTGGTGTAGACAAGCGGCCACTTGTTCTGACTTGCACTTTAGAAAGGTCCTTCTGGGCTCTGAGCAAAGCAGCAGCCAGTGGGGCGGCTGTGCAGCAGGAGCATGGTGGAGCCTCTCCTGCCTAGCCACTGCACGTTGGAGGACAGTGAGGAGCAGGCAGGTTTGGGACACACAGGGCAGGCAGGGCAGGCACAGACACTGGAGGTGAGAAGGTGTTGGGGAATTAGGGGGGCCGGGCTTAGCAGCATCAGGGGTAGGGCTCCTGTCCTACCTCCAGGTGAGGGAGCAGATGCTCCTCTGCTAGGCGGAGTGATTCTGGCCTTCAGTGTGGGCCTCCCTGACTCCAGAGTTCAGCTAATATTGCAAAAGTTGTGGCATCTTGGTGTGAACACTTAAATTCATTATTTGTTTACAACCAGAGCACCAGAGTAGGACTGGTTTCTGGCCAGGCTTGACCCAGTGGTGTAGGTGTGTTGCCAAAGATTTGGTTTCTTCAGTGTTAGCTTTGTTCTAGGACTGGCTTCCCCAAGACGTTGGCCCCTAGTTCTCATGGTGACAAAGGTCATCGTATCAAAAGAAAAGTGTCCCTGTCCCAGTGTTCCCACCCAAAATCCTAAGTTACTGTGACTGCCTGCTGTGGGTACATGGCCATCACCCTATCCACTGGGAAGGGCTGATTGGCTCAGCCTAGATCTTGGCCACTGGGGAAGGCTGAGGTCCTCTGAGAACACCTCCATCCGAGAGACCTGAGTACCAGTGCCATCTGCTGCCTGGCTTGGGTAGTGCGTTATTTCTTTAGGTGATGGGAAGATCCCTATGCACGTGGCCCAAAGAAATCTCTTCTCTTCTTAAAATAAAACGCAGGACATCAGAAGCAAATTGACCCAGAAACATTCAAAGATTTCTACAACTGCTGGAAAGAGACAGAAGCAGAGGCCCAAGAGGTCAGCCTGCCTTCGCTGGTGATGGACCACCTGGATAAAAACGAGTGTGTCTATAAGCTGTCAAGCTCTGTGAAGACCAATCGTGGAGTGGGCAAGATTGCCATGACCCAGAAGCGCCTGTTCCTGCTCACTGAGGGGAGGCCAGGCTACGTGGAGATCTCCACCTTCAGAAACATAGAGGTAAGTGCCCAGGGCCAGCTCTGGAGCCCAGCTAGGTGGCCGCCCTTCTCATGCCTCTGTGTACCCATCTGTAAAGTGAGAATAGCATGGTGCCTTTCTGTCTGGGCTGTGGTCAGGAGGGGACAAGCCAAGTGTGCACGGGCTTAGGGCTCTGGCGTTCATCCTTTAACCAGTTCTCCAGTGCAGGTGACTGGGTTTGGGAAGCAAGAAACGAGGAGTGAGAAGCAAGGCTGGCTGAGACCATCTGACTAGAGACGGGAGGTATAGGAATTAACCTGTCTGGGGGACCCGGCTACGTGCCCACCTCTGTTGGCTGCTGAGGGCGTCTCCCACTTTCTGCTCCCTGGCATGCATTGGTTTTGTAGCAGTTTTCATGTTGCGTTTTAAAGGTAGCCAGTCGTTCTCCCCCTTGTAGAAGTCTGGATCGGGATCCTGATTCATCTCAGTACATGCCTTCCACTTCCTTTCCCAGACCTCAGAGGGTGAGGAGAGGCGGGTTGGGGTGTTAGTGCTCTGCCCCGTCAGCTGACAGTCACCGCAGAGCTGCTATGACTGGTCGCCACCACTGTGGCATCAGGACTGTCCCATCCTTCCGTTCCTTTCCCACCTGCTTTGCCTGGCTTCCTAGAGTTGCAGAGAGGGATGTCTGATGAGTCCATTTGTGACGACTGCTGGCTGTCACGCCAACATATACTGGGAGTGTCCTGTCATCTGGGGGCTGGGTCCCTCCTCCCTTTCACTGAGGCCAGCCTGGGTTCCCAGCCTCTGATGCCTTTCTCCTGCTGGTCCCAGTGGCCCTTGTGTGTGTGACTTGACCCCCCCCCCTCTCCTCTGCAGGAAGTGAAGAGCACCACGGTTGCTTTCCTCCTCCTGAGGATACCCACTTTAAAGATTAAGATGATGTCCAAGAAGGATGTCTTCGAGGCTAACCTGAAATCCGAGTGTGACCTCTGGCACCTGATGGTGAAGGAGATGTGGGCCGGGAAGAAGCTGGCTGATGACCACAAGGTCTGAGGCGAGGGCCCAGCGCGGGTGGGCACTGGGCCTCCTGGGAGTGCTCAGCTGTTAGAACTCAGGGCAGGTGCAGGTCTGGCTCCTAGGCAGAAGGACGTGAATGACAGGACCCACACAGGCATGGAGGCCACCATGGGTCCATGACCCAGCCCAGCCTCTGCTGCCTTTGGGAATGCCGGGGAAGAACAGGTGGCAGACCATGAGAGCTGCTGTCTCAGTTGCCTCCTGCCATGTCCCCCTCCATTCTGGTAACATTCCAGTGAGTGGAGGGATGGACTTTGCCAACCTTGTCCACACCTTTGCATCTGGGTGTATTTGGCACATGCTGCGTTGAGAGACTATACCCTCCCATGTCACCAATCAGGACCCAGGCAGGGTCGGGGGGCTTGGATTCCTTTCCTCGGGTTAAGTTTATGTCCTAGGGAGTTTTTATTTTAATTTACTTTGGGCCAGCTTGATGTTTTTGATTGTTTTTTGATGGAATGGGGATTTGAACTCAGGGCTTCATGCTTGCAAAGCAGGTGCTCTACTGCTTGATCCACACCTCTAGTCCATTTTGCTCTGGTTGTTTTGGAGATGGGGGGGGTCTCATGAACTATTTGCCTGGGCTGGCCTCAAATCACGATCCTCCCAATCTCAGCCTTCCATGTAGCTAAGATTAATGGCATGGGCACCAGTACCCAAGAAGTTGATGGTTTTGACTACCCCAATGACAAGCGCATAGTAATAAGGTGGATGGCATTTGGGGACATGTTCACATCATCTAAATAGTGAGGTTTGACAGGAAACCAGTGAAGAATGGGCTGAGGCTGTACACAGGGAGCTCACACAAGAATCAATCATGAGGCTTTAGGGAGACTGAAGCCCTACCAGTCACCAGAGAAACACAGGTGATGGTGGCGTCCAGATGGTGACAATATTAGGAATAGGATGTCCAGTGGCAGGGGACTGTCATTTGTGATGGGAAGTTCGCAGTCACTAGCATGGGTGGATTGGATCCTTTCCAAGATTCTGGCATTCCATGACTTGGGGGACTAGCTATCTGGTTTTATGCTTAGCCACACCAAAGCCATGGTGGGAGGACTGCCCCAGTGGTCTCACTGGAATACAGCCAGGCCTTAAAGGGGTCTCTGACATGCCTGTGGCCTTTGCGTCACTGGGGCTGTCAAGGTGACAGCAGAGGTAATGTGGCTGCAAGGCCTGTGGCCTGCTGTGAAGTGTCACCATTTGGTGTAACTAAGAGAGAAAGATCCTGGTCATTCACGGGAACGCTCATGTTGCCTCAAGCAGACGCAGTTTTGTTTTTCCTTGAGGAGACCAGGGGTGGTGTTGGTACCTCGCTGAGGGGAAGCTTACACCTCCTTCTGTCCTAGGACCCTCAGTTCATCCAGCAAGCCCTCACAAATGTCCTGTTGATGGACGCCGTTGTTGGCACACTGCAGTCACCCAGCGCCATCTACGCTGCCTCCAAGTTGTCCTACTTCGATAAGATGAAGAATGAAAGTAAGCTGTGACACGCCAGACGTGTCACCTGAACATGTGTCTGACTGATTTCCTCTGGTCCGTGTTTGCATTTTTTTTATCAGTTAGAACCAACCCCAGGTTTCTTTTTCTGTTTTCTAATTAATTTTAATTTTAGTTTTATCTGGTGGTACTGGTGCTTGAACTCAAGGCCTCATGCTTGCATGTGATCTACCACTTGAGCCACTCTACCAGCCTGATTTTAGTTTTACTCATTCAGCTTATGCTGGACTAGAACTCTTGACCTTCCTGCCTCAGCCTCCTGGTACTAGAGGACAGGCGTGTGCCATGTGTCTGGGTGTAATTCATTTCTGAGCTCCATATGTTGTTCTGAATGTTCCCTTTTTTCACTTGATAATGGACCTGGCCCCGGCCCCTGTCTGCATATCAGAACACGTGGAGACCTGAGTTTTCTTGGCTGGGCAGCACTACATTTTTCTCTGCAGTGTTTTGTCCTGATTCTTAGTTGCAAACAATAGAATTCCTTCTGTTGGCTGGTTAAAACAGACTAGAACTCTCTGGAAGCCTGTTGAGTGCCTGGATAGTCCCTGGGGTCTGCAGTCAGGAGTGCGCCCACTGGACAGCCTCGGCCACTCTTGAGTGTGGCCGGCCCATTGGCTGTGTGAGAAGGGCAGGCCCTGGATGCCTGCATCTCTTGCTCTTTTTAAGTTGGCCTGGCCAGCTTCCCCAGCAGGAATTCTCCCACCTCCCTTCTCACACACTTGCACCTGGCTCTCCCATTCCGGAAGCTATCCATAGGTGGGTGCGGGTTTGAGTATTTGTTTTGGAGGGTGATTTTCAAGCCTAGGACCAAAAGGGTAAGAATGACTTGATGTGTATTTTGAGACATTCTGTTTTGCTTTTGTTTTAAACAATCTCTTACAGCCACCTGTGAGCTACGCAAGACAAGTGGGAAATGTTCTGAGGACTCCTTGTTACTCAGTACAGCATGCCAGAGTTAACGCGCTCAACTAACGTGTGACACACAGACCAACCAATGCTCAGTCATGTTTTTGGGTGTCCCTGTGGGTTGTTTGGTGACGGTGTATCAAGATATTCTTGTACCACTCCCACTTAGAGCATGTAGCTTAGGGTGTTAGAATATTGGCAGGGCTGGACGACCATCATCATACAGACTTTGGAACACTTTAATTACCTCCCGAGGATTCCGTCCCCTTTAGCACTCGCCTCCAACCTTTCAGTGACATGGACTTGCCTCTCCTGGGCATTTCATGCACACGAATCCTTTGTGACAGCCGCTTTTCTCAGCACAGCGTGCTCAGGCCACCCGTGTTGCGCCTGTCAGTACTTCATTGGGCGTTGTCTGCATAGAGCACATTCTCATGTACTCATCATACAGTGAACATTGCAGTTGGTTCAGCTTTTTGCCTATCATGAATGATGCTGCTGGGAGCACTTTTTTTTTTTTTGAGACAAGGACTTGCTATGCAACCCAGGCTGGCCTTCCTGAGTGCTGGGACTACAGGTGTGCACCACTCTGCCTGGTTCACATACACATTTTTTGCAAGGACATTTTTCATTTCTCTTGGGTATATAGCTGGAAACTTTTTTCAAACTCCAGTCCCAGGGTTAGGAACAGCATCAGTTACATGTGTATTTATTGGGCACGTTTACCCTCTTTGCAGCACCTGTTGCTCACTGTGGAACCCCTGGTGCATTCTGGTCATGATACCCACTGACCTGTGACCCAGGGGACCCTGAGCTGGGATGGCAGCCAGGAGGCTCAGGTGCCTTGTGTTGCTGCAAGACTGGCTGGAGCGACTAGCAAGGGTTTTGTCTGACCATTCTGGGACCAGACATCAATTGCTCTTTTTCCTTCAGTGAGGACAGAACAGATTCAAATAAACAGCATACTTCAGCAGTTTATATGATCCCAACATTGCTCATCTTTGCCAGGAGTTTATAGACCAGCCTCACAGCATCTCTGTGAACAGTTTATGGTCGCCATGGTAACGCAGCACGGCTTGCTCTCAGCCCATGTCCACCTTGTTCCACAGGGTGGGGGAGGCGCCCCCCCCCCCATGTTCAGGTCACAAATACATCTGAGTTCCTGACTCCTTGTTACCAAATCAAGAAATATTTTCCAGTGTTTAGAGCTGAATGAGGTGAAAACCCACAACACGTGATCAGCTCTGTAGCACGTGGTTGATTCCTGGTGCAAGGTCTAAAGATGTGCAGAATTGAGGAAGGACCTGAGCATGACCAGCTGGAGGCAGCGGGTGAGGTGGCCTTAGCAGAGGCCAGTTAGCACCTACCATGCCTGGAGAGAGCAGCCAGGCCTATGAGCACGTGCTCTGCTGTGGATTGCGTAACTCAGTTTGCCATCTTTTTAAAACCCAGGACTGCAGTGTCAATCTTACCAGATCGCTGTGAGGCTTAATAAAATGAGGGCTGACCAGTAGCTGGCAGGTCCTGGGTGTACGGCCTCCCAGATTGGGATGGCTAAGCGATGCACCTGTAAAGGCCAGGAAGGTGTTCCAGGTAGCTGAGGGGAGGCGGGGTTAGGCAATGCCTGGAGGCATGGGTTGGATTGTACGCTTTTGTGGTGGGGTTTGCACCCCACCCTGGGGAGGCTTTGGCAGTGATGGAGATGTCTGTGGCTGTGGTGGGCAGGGCTGCTGCTGGGCTTGAGTGGACAGAGGACAGGTTTGCTCAGTGTCCTCCAGGGTGCAGCAGGGTTTCTCAGCCAGTGCGCACTGTTCTGAGGTGGGGACACTGGGGGTGCTCTCCTCTCGCCCTCTCTTTGCTGGGCAGGGGTGGCCAGAGACCTGGTTGGTGGCTTCTGAGCTGAGGAAGGAGCTGTGGGTGTGTGCACTCAGTGCTCCCTCCACTCACCAGAGCTGAGACCAGGAGCGAGCCTCAGAGGGCGCTTCCTCACGCAGGTCCCAAGACAGAGCCCTCTTTACCAGCCATGTAGTTTTGCCCCCAGACTCACTTTTGCTGTGGATGACAGCGCCATCTTTCTGTCTGCTAAACTGACTCTAGGGTTTCGTTTCAGTGCCCATGCCGGTTCCCAAGATGACCTCGGAGACCCTAAAGCATAAGATCAACCCCTCGGCAGGGGAGACTGCCCCGCAGGCCATCGATGTCTTGCTGTACACGCCAGGTAAGGTGAGCTCCTGGGTCCTGATGCTCTGTCGTTGTCCTTTCCCCCAATCATGGGACTGGGGCTTTGAATAACCCGAGGGCTTTCCACTTGTAAAGCAGGTGCTCTACTGCTTGAGCCAAACCTCCAGTCCATTTTGCTTTGGTTATTTTGGAGATGGGCTCTCAAAAACTATTTGTCCACAATCCTCCCGATCTCAGCCTCCCAAGTATAGGAGCATAGGTGTGAGCCACTGGTGCCTGGCCCTGCTGCTGTTTCAGTTTAGGTTTGAGGTCAGCCCTGCAGTGAGAGGACGCAGAACACTGGTGGACACAGGGCAGGGTGTGTCCTGTTTGTTGGTGAAATCCTGAGTGCCGAGGGTGTCCTGTGGTGACTGCTCCGAGCACTTGACCTCCAGGTAACCCCACCTGGGGAGCCCCTGAGAGGCTGACGGGGCTGCACTGGGCACTCAGCCTGGGGCCCAGAGTAACCATCCCCTGCCCTCTGTGGCAGGTGGCGTCTATGAGGAACTGCCTCTCGCACATTTCCTCGGGGCTGTGTAACTGGCTTCCACTGTTGTTGAGATGGGCTGTACCTGGCTTTTACTGCTGCAGAGCCAGATGGGCTCCCTGGAGCTGAATGCCTGTAGACTGCCCGCTTCTGTCTGAGGCACTGCGTCTTCAGCCTTCTGCACATTTAAACGTCCTAGTTCCCCAGAAGTGGCATTTGGATGACTAGAGGAAGAAATTGGTGCTTCAAAGGTCCAACTACAAGTACGCCCTTGGGCTTAGGTTTAAAACTGTCAAAACCCTCTACTTACTTCCGACTAGTAAGGAAGCTGGTGGTGAGAATGAAGGAACTTGGCTCCAGGCAGGAAAGGAATTTGAAGCCGGGTAACTCCTCAATTCTGTGATGTCAGGAGGGTTGACAGCACATCGGCTATGCTCACTGGTCCTCTATACACCTGCTGTGAAGAAAAAGGAAGTGGTCTGTCCTGTGATGTGGCTACCAGGTCTGGAAGGGGTGGCTGAGAAGGTGATCGCAGAGTGTGGCCAGCTTTGCCAGAGGGACAAGGGCTGGAGTCAGAGCCATCAGGAGGAGGCGTCCTGGAGAGCCTGTCAGCTTTGGTTGGGACTCCAAGGGTCATGGAAGGAGTTGGGAGAACGAGGCCTGTGGGGCTGTATGTTGGCTTGGGCTCAGCTGCGCTGAGTGCCTCATAGTGGGGAACCCCTTCCAGCACCCCAGGGGTGCAGATGCCCTGGAGAGACACAGGGCAAGGCCTCCCACCTTAGGACAGGTGCTCTGCAGGGCAGGGTGGGGCCAAGGACAGTCTAACCATAGGTGGTGGGACCTTGTATCTCCATATGGGAGGTGGGGACCACCCATTGCAGTCCGTCCCCGAGGTTAGCTGCAAGTGGGCTGAGCCTTGCCATGAATGCAAAGTGAGCAAGCACATGGCTGAAGCTGGCAAATGCAGAATTACAGAATTGCCATGACTGAAGAGCCAGCCAAAAGATTCCTAAGTAGTGCATGAAGGCACTGACCGCAAAGGGGAGATGAATAGGTTCGACTACATTGAAATTAAGGATTTCGGGAAGTTACCTTCAAGACAGCGGAAGTGCAGGCCCTGGCCAAGAAAGGGATTTATGTATGTGGCACTGGTAGCACAGAGCATAGCTCCCAGAAGGGGAACGAGACAGTTCCAGAACTGGAAGAGGCCACCACTTAGGAGGAAGGTGTCCCATGGCTAACTGACACTGTTAACCTCATTAGTAACCTAGGAAGGTGCAAATAAAGTCACAATTAAAAGCCAAACATGTTGGCACATGCCTATAGTCCTAGCTATTCAGGAGGCTGAGACTGGAGGATCTCTTGAGCCTGGCTCACTACATAGTGAGATCCTGTCTCAAATAATAGACAACAAGCAAAAAACAAAACTTCCCTTAGAGTGTCAAAATTTAAAACCTCAACACCACTAAGTGTTGGTGAAGACTCAGAGCAAGAGTGTCTGCTACACTCTTGCCAGGTGTGGAAGTTGGTGGAAGCACCATGGCTTCTGCTTCAGTTTCCCCAGCTGGCCCCTCTTTTCTGCAGCCAGTGCCTACCTGTCCTCCACCTGCCCCACCCCTGCTCCTAAACTGTGCTCTCTGGTGAACCATCACCTGCGGGCCTGGCTCAGTAATGCAACTCTGCTCCTGCAGGCTCTGTCTGTCCCTGTGATTCTGCAGCTCATGAAATGCCAAGTTCGGGGAGTGCAGGGTGGCGTCGGGCCTTGCTTACCTCTGTATCCCCAGCACCAGCATGATGCCTGGTGCTTAGCAGATGCCCGCAGATCCCCTGTCATGTATCAGTGGTCTTTGGGCTATTTCCTCTTTAGGGCACCTCGATCCAGCAGAGAAAGTTGAGGATGCTCACCCCAAGTTGTGGTGCGCCCTGGACGAAGGCAAAGTGATCGTGTTTGATGCGTCTTCTTGGACCATCCACCAGCACTGTTTTAAAGTGGGCACCTCTAAAGTGGTAAGCGAGGCCTTCGGGTCCAGTGTCTGGAGGCAGTGTGAGGTTGAAAGGTGGGCAGGTGACCCGACTGGAGAGGACACACGTCGCTCCACAGCATCGTAAGTAGGAAGTAGTCAGTTGCTGTCAAGTATTCAATTTAAGAGTGAGCTTGCTCCATCCTTTATGGATATGTACTCACTGAGGGAGTCAGTAAGTGGCTGGACGTCCCTGACTTTTGGAAAGCAAGGGGCACCAGGTGTTCCAGGTGGTGGAAGGCCACCCACATGTGCCCACTGAGCGCAAGCCACATGGGGCATCTCTCATGGGTTCTGGTGATTGCTGAGAGGCCATGAGTGGGTGTCTGAGAACAAAGGAAGAGGGCAGGAGGAGGGTGTGGCCTGCAGAGAGCAGGGTCGGAGGGACTTAGATCTGCTCCCTGTGCCCTCGCTTCTGGGGGCAAAGTAAGCTGGAGTGTTTCTGAGAGTTTTATAACAAGTGTAACTTGTCCGTGGCACTGCCCAGTGTGACCTCTTTTGTGAGTCACGATAGTGTGAGTCCTGGTAGTCACTTCCGTCTCTCCAGGCGCTAAGTGACCTCTCCCTGCTTGAGTGTCCCCAAGCCTGGGGATTCTACTTTTGGCTCAGCTACCCTGCTGGTCTGCTTGCGTTGCTCTGGTCCCTCGTGGGCCTCAGCGTCTCTCTCCCAGCCACGGCTCCTCCCCTGGGTGGTGTCCCCTGCCCTCCGTCCGTCCTTCTCACTCTTCTTGCTGATTTGTAGACATTTTGTACCCCACGCTTCCACTGTATGGTCACATCAGATAAGCTCTGAGGGTACAGAAGGTGACATCACTTTAAGGAGCCTCTGAGGAGAGCCTCGTGCCCCAATCCTTCAGCATGGGTAGCCTGTTGAACTCATGCTTTTCTTTCTTTTTTCTTTTTTTTGGTGGCACTGGGGTCTGAACTCAGGGCCTTACAATTGCTAGGCAGGTACTCTACTACTTGAGCCATGCCTGCAGCCCTTTTTTACTTTCTTCAGGTAGGGTCTTGCTTTTTTCCCAGGCTGGCCTCAGACCATAGACCATTATCATCCTACCTATGCCTCCCTCATAGTTGGGATTATAGGTGTGAACTATCATGCCCAGCTTGTTTTGTTGAGATGCGGGGGGGGGGGGGGGGCGGGTCTCACTAGCTTTTTGAATAATCTGGCCTTGAACTGTGATCCTCATAATCTTCAGCTCAAAGTTCGTATTTAACGTGGAAGAATGGCCAGGTGAATTGTTTGGCACTGCTTAGCGCTGATTCGGGCAGCTTTTCTATCAGCTGAAAGTGATATAGCACTCCCTGGTACGGCAGGCTTTTTATAACTTCTGAAAAACAGAGAATGTGAACACATATTGCTGAATGTGGGGTTACTCTTAAATGCCTGGATGGCAAACCTTAGGAGAGCAAGACAGTAACAGCTGTTGTGGTTTCCTCTCCGTATTCAAGCGAGTCTCATTTGGAAAGGCAACAGGACTCGCACTGCTATGTCAGAGTTTACAAAAGTCTAGTATGGCTCTAGAGCAGGCAAAAGAGAGAGAGACTAAGGACGCCACCCTCATTCTAGATTTGCTTTTCTACTGGCTCTTCATTATAAGCATTGTGAAGAAGACTTTTTAATAAAAGAATAACTTTTAAAATGCTAGTTAAAAGAAAACCCAGAAGGCTGCGATTTGTAGCAGTCTATCGCTCTCCAGTCTAGTTGGGTAATTTACAGCAAGTCATCCAACTGTGGGAAAATGCCTTCCTGCCAGTTTCACCCATGCCTGTGCCATCCAGAAGGAATCAGGTTGTGTCTTGGGGAGATGCTGTCTCTGCTGCATGTGAAGTCCATGCGGTTTGTCTAAGACGTCTTATCCAGGACATTCTACTAGATCACTCCCACCCTCAGGGATGCCTGAAAAGAGAGATTCTTTAGATAGCGATTCTGCAACCCATCCTCTCCTAAACAGAGAATATGTTGCTAGAACTCAAGTGACAATTTCATAAGTGCTAGTTTCTGACCTCAAGGTGAGTGGTTGCCGTCATGGCACTGGTGAGCTACGGTGTTGTCTGTTGAGTCTGGCCCTGAGCACCCTCCATCCTGATGTGGCTTAGCTTTTATTCTTCAGAACCGGTTTGGATTTGGTGAGCTGAGACATTTGTCCAATTATCAGTAAAGCATGGTGCAGTCACAGACAGAGGCAGGACAGACAGTCACCACACAGAAGAGCAGCAGTCATCTGACCTCAGTGCAGGGCAGGCAGGTGTGTCCGGAGCACGTAGGGACCACTAAGTCACCTTGTGAGATACCCAGCTGTGAGGTGCAGGACAGCAGCTGCTTTCATGTGATGTGTGTTCCTCTGAGTGTTTAATCCTTAATTCCCAACATCAGAGTCTGGAAAGAGCTGCCGACTGTGGAGTGGATAAGCTGAGAGCACCCTTTCAGCTAGAGAGCGCTGGCAGCCTCACAGTTGTTCCTAGACGGCTGGTCCCCCTTATTGGTAAATTCAGCCACCTGCTGAAGTTAATTTGTGACCCTCAAATACATGCTCACGGTGCCTTCTCAGTTGTCCACAGCTGTGGGCGTGCATGATGATGCATGTGCTCCAGCTTTGGGCCGGCCCTGTGATGCTGCCTATTTCAGTTCCAACCTGGGATGGGTGTCTCTTCCATGGCCTGTTTAGTACCATGTTTTTGTGCATTTTATTGGTGACTTTACTGTTCTAAATGGCCCCAGGCAGGCCAGGCCTGGTGGCTCATGCCTGTCATCCCATCTACACAGGAGGTGTCAGTAGGAAGATTGCAATCTGAGGCCAGCTGGGGAAAGACAGAAGACTATCTGAAAAATAACCACAGCTACAAAGGGGGCATTGCTCAAGCAGTAGAGCACCTGCCTAGCAAACACGAGGTCATGTTCAAACCTTGCGATAGCCTAAAATAAACAAACAAACAAACAAAAAATCAGCCCCAAGCATAGTGCTGAAGTGCTGGCTAGTGTCCCTGAGAGCAAGGGGGCTGCGTGAGCCTCGGGGAGGAGTGCTGGTGAGCTCAGGGTGAATGAATTGACACTGTGTATTCACTAAGGTGTCTTTAAACAGAAGTACACATAAACAAAAGAAGGTCAGGTGCGACCAGTTGACAAGAGTGTGATAAGAACGCATGGGACCCTGGCCTTGGGTGTCCCTGGGAGAGTAGGTCAGGATTCACTGACCAGCATTTGTGGCGGTTTATAGAGCCTAACTGCTGCACACAGGAGTGTGGATTGTGTCTGGCTTTCACTTCTTGACCTCTTAGAACTGCATGCTGATGGCTGAGCAGAGCCAGGTGTGGGTCGGCTCGGAGGACTCTGTCATCTACATCATCAATGTGCACAGCATGTCGTGCAACAAGCAGCTCACAGACCACCGCGCCAGCGTCACTGGCCTGACTGTGCAGGACTCACGGAAGTCCAGGTACCACGCCAGAGGACTGGGTGGCACTGGCTGGGCCAGGGTGCTGGCAGGGACGGGTCCTGAGAGCTCGCATCTCCAGGCCAGGTAGGGTGAGGAGCACAAAGTGCCCTGAGGAGAGAAGGTGGGAGATGTGTTGGTCTGAGTGCTCTTGGGGGCAGAGGAAGACGTTGCTCGTCTGAGACCAGCGCGGTACCAGTGCTGACGTAGGCTCTCAGCCTTATAGTGCTGTGTCCTGCATCCTGGCTGCTCGTCTGCAGGCATTTCCTGTGGGTCTGGAGTCCCAACTGTCCTCATTTTTAAACTTGTCCAGTTTATTTCACTTGGCCCCACACTTCTACCTGGGAACGCAGGACATGGGGGGTACAAGTCCCCACCACAGGCAGGAGTTATCCTGTCACATGGTCCTGCTTGTCCCTTGTCCTCTTATGTGTTCCTACCTCCTGCCCCTCCTTGCCTGAGACCAAGTCACCCTAGACAGTGAGATTTGAACTACAAAACTCTGAGATGACCCTGGGCAAGGGGGTACTAGGGAGGATGGGGCACTGCCCCAGCCACACAGATAGGAGCTGGGCTGGGACTCACTCATCCAGAGCCAGGGCCGAGGCTTGTCGCAGGAGAACCATGAAGATCTCCTCTGACACTCCACTTCCTGCCGAGCTTCCTGGTTTATTTGTCTGCTCCCCAGGTTCTACCTGGGCAGAGTTTCCTAGGGCTGTCCTAACAGTACCTCAAGCCGCAGAGCAAAAACACCCACATGGTTCTGGAGGTCAGAATCATGTCAAGGTGTCACAGGGCTGTGCTCCCAAGTCCCGTAGGGGACACTCCTTCCCACCTCCTCCAGGGTGGTGGCTGGCAGCTCTTGGCGTTCCTTGGCCTGTAGACACCGTTCCCATGGCACCCTCCCTCAGTGTGTGTGTCTGGGTTCAAGTTTCCCATTTGTAAGGACTGTCATATTGGATCAGAGCCCACCATAATGACCTCATTTTGCCTTGGCCACCCTGTCTCCAAATGAGGTCACATTTGAGGTGCTGGGCTTAGATCACCACCGTGTCTGTTCCCAGGGACACCATCCACCCACACCGTGCATTTATGTCACTCAGGGATGACTCCTGAGGGCAGCCTCCTGTACTGTGGTGAGGATGGGGCCTGAGTGGTAGAGCCAGGGAAGGCTCGAGAGCTAGGCTGTGGTCAGGAGGCACCATGCAGAGCAGCCCTAATGCTCTGTGTGCCCTTCCCTCCTCTGCTGTCCCTGGGCCCCTCTTACCCCAGTTTAGTACCAGAGGTGCCTCTGTCCTTACTGGGCCCAGGTCTGATGGGATGTCTGGTGCTAATTTGAAGGTGACATGAGCTTGGAAGGTGTGGAGATCACAGGTGGCATGGCTGCTATGCACCGTGCTCTGCAGCCTAGATTATTAGCCCTGGGGTTTGGGAGTGTCCACTGCCTCTGGCCCGTCTGTGCTGTGTGGCCCTGCAGAGATTGGGTTTCAGTGACCTGTGACACTGAGGCTTTGCTCACTGATCCCACATCCAGCCTATAGTGGATGCAGTGGAGCCCTGGGCAGAGAAGAAACTGCTGCCCTCTGCTGCCTCAGTTGCATTCGAACTGGGCCTGTTTGTGCTACATCCCCAGTATGGTAGGCATCACTTAGGTCCCTGTGGTGGGTTCTTCAGTGGTGACACTGTTCCCTGGGGTTAAAATGCAGTATTTCCGGGGCCTAGCTAATGTGCGCATGTTTTTGCTTCCTCTAGGGAGGTCTATTCCTGCAGCCGCGATGGGATGGTGTTGGCGTGGAACGTGAGCACGTTGCGGGTGACCAGCCAGTTCCAGCTGCCTTGTGGTGGCCTTACAGCCATCAGCCTGCACAGCAGCCACCTGTGGTGCTGTGAGTCCTCTGCACGCACATGTGTGCCCTTTGCTCTCCTCGCGCATTTCCAGTGCCCTCTTCAAACTGGTTCCTTCCCTGGGCTCCTGGCAACCCTTCTGCCCCTCACTGCCACTCTCAGGCCACTCCTGCCCCTCCCCTGTGCCTTGCTCTGGGCTGCCCTTAAGCCCTGGCCTCTATGAGCGTGTCACACCTCCTCTTGGGGACCAGCTTGGCCAGTTTGAGCTGCGGTCACCTGTGCTGCGCCTAGGCCATCCCTTGGGCCCGAGTGTCCTCAGAGACGAGCTGGGTCCTCTGTCAGGTGATGGGGGGAGCAGGTGTTGTCCATGGCTCGCCGACTGTGTTCCTAAACATCCCAGGCACACAGGTCGCCTGCACCACAATACCTTCCCAGCCAGCATGTGACGTGACGTCAGGGATAGCTGTGAGTCCGATTTGGTTTGGGTTGAAGCGTATTTTACATAAAGAAATGCACAGCAAGGCGTGGTTCCATACCTGCAGTGGGGGCTCGGGACCCTGGCATGTGGAAACTACCTTATGTGAAGTGGCTCGGTGTTGTGTAGAAAGAGCGCAGCTGTGCCACCCAAGGACGCTTGTCATCTTTACGTCACCTATGACCCCAGTGCAATGAAGTGCTGTGGAAGTGGTTTTCTACTGTATTGCCTGTGTGTTTGTCATTTTTAAACCTTTCTGGACCTTTATTTGCTAAGCGGTGCTCTGCACTGAGCTCCGCGATCCTTGGCTGCTTGTCTGGCTGCTCATGAAGCTCCTGACCAGAGGTGTGGCAGGCAGTCTGGGTGCCACTCCATTTCCCTTTTGTTTCTCTGTCCCTCCTTTTAACTAATAGAGTATTTTAGTGCTCACCTCGATCTTCTTGTCTTTTTAGCTGCAGCTTTTTTGCTTTATTTTTTAGAGGCTAGTCTAAGGATTGTGTTTGCAGCCATTGCCACAGCCCCCCGAGGTTGCTCTGGGACCACTTCACACAGAACATCAGGTGCTAACTCTGTTTACCCCCTTCTGCTGCTGCTGGTGAATACAGTGGTTTATTTCTATGACTGTGATAAACCCCATGGTGTGTTTTTAAATATTTTGCTTAAGCAGCCAATCAATCGCCTTTCTTTTCTTTTCTGCAGTTCTAGGGATTGAACTCTTACCACCTGTGACATGCCCCCAGCCCTTTTGTTTCTATTTTGATTTTGAGGCTTGTGTCAAAATCATGATCCATCTGCTTCCGTCTCCTGAGTAGCTGTGATTATAGGCATGCACCACCACCTGGCTCCTCATGGTCTTTCAAAGAAACTAAGAAAAAAAAAATTAGTTTGCCAAGCCAGACACTGGTGTCTCACACCTGTAATTCTAGCTACTTGGGAGGTTGAGACAGAAGTTTGAGGTCAGCCAGGACAGATCCCATCTCAATCAGTAACTGAACCTGTGGCACATGCCTGTTACCCCCAAGCTATGTGGGAGGCTGAGACTGATTGGGAAGATCATGGTTCCAATCCTAGGCAAGTTTGTGAGACCCCCATCTCTTTGGAAGAAAGATGGGCATAGTGGTGCATGTCTGTCATCCCAGTGATGGTGAGAAGCAAATAGGAGGATCTTGGTCCAGGCCAGCCTGGACAAAAAGCTAGACCGTATCTCCAAAATGACCAGAGCTAGAAGGACTGGTGGAATGGCTCAAGTGATGGAGTGCCTGTCAGGCAAGCCCTTAGTTCAAAACCCATTACCAACAAAACAAAAATTCTTTTGCTAATAATGCATCATTGCTGGTGAGCCTCCTTCCTTCCTGACCAGGAAGTTTTCCCTCATCCTCACTTGTCCTGCAGTCTAAATTGGGTGCAGCAAATGCAGCTGATGCCTTTGCTTTTCCCAGACTTTGAAACCCATTTCCTTAGCACACGGTCCCACTGGCTTCCTTGTTCCGGTAAGTCTGTCGTCGTTCTTGTTGCTAAGTGCGATAAGATGATATGGTAAGGTGATGTGTCTGTCTCTTCTAGCTGCTTTTAAGGTGTTGTGCTTAGTTTTGTGAGCTGGGCTACAGTGCACCTGCATGTGAAGGCTTTGTGTTTGTCCTCCTTGGCATTTACTTTCATGGATTTGGGGAAGTTTTTATTTATTTATTCAGGTGGCACTAGGGTTTGAACTCAGGGCCTCATGCTTGCTAGGCAGGTGCTCTACCACTTGAGCGAGGACCCCACCCGCTTTGAGTACAATTTTAAACCACTGTCTCCCCAAATCATCTTCTCTCCGTCTCTCCCATCTTCTTGGATTCTGATTACACCAATGTTAGACCATCTGTTTTTGTCCAGCAGTCTTGGGAGCTGTTTTAATGTTTTCTCTTTCTGTGCTTCAGTTTAGATAAGACCTATGTCAGTCAGCTTTTCATGGCTGAGATGATAAACAACTTAAAAGGAGGAAAGGTTTGTTTTGACTCACAGTTTCAGAAGTTTCAGCCTGTGGTCACTTGGCCGTGTTGCTTTGGGCCTGTGGTGGCACAGCCCTCCATGGTGGGAACATGGCAGCCAGGATGCAGCGACAGACAGGAAGGGGCCCGGTAGCCTCTTCAAGGCTGGCTCTTCCTGAAATCTACCTTTCTCCCATTAGGCCCTCCTCCTGAAGGTCCAGCCACCTCCCAGTAGTGCTGCTGGAGTCCAGGCCTTCAACAAACACATGGCCTTTGGGGCATGTTCCAGATCTGAGCTAGCAACCTGGAACTTTCTTCTCTGTTTTCTCTGCTGTTAAACCCACTTTAACTCTAGAATTTTCACTTTAACTCTAGAATTTCCATTTAGATTTGTGTTTGAACTTCAGTTTATCACCTGAACTCTTCCTGTTATCCCCATCCTATCTATAGCTCTTGTAAATTTTTAAGACGTTTGTGTGCCTGGCTCACCTTGGGGACAGTAGTCAGTCCTGCCTATGCCAGCACCAGTGTTGAACTCTGCCGGCTCTCCTCCCTGTGGCCAGGGCCCAGGCAGGGCTGGCATGTGATGAGCGTGTGACAGTCCCAGAAGGTGCCTCCACAGGCCAGGGTGGCAGGGCTCCACCACACAGGCTTCCTGTGCCCTTCCTCCAGTCAGACATCCCTAACCCCCAACCTGCAGCATCAGAAAGGCCTCATTCATTAGTCCAGGCGGTGACCACACATTGGGAACAGGCTTCTGGAGGCCCCCAGCACTTACTTGGAAGGTCTCTTCAGGAGCAGGAAGGAGACAGGGAAACCCAGGTCAGCTCCTGAGTACCACACTGGCCAAGGATCAACGGGCTCACTGCTCAGCTGAGGCTGGGGGAAGAGGGCTATACCTCTGCTGTCCCCATGCCTCCCGTCTCCCAGAATTGGTGTCTCCTGGGCCTCTGCTTGTTAAGTGGGTGCTGCCCAGGGGCCAGGTTTGTGCCTCCCTGTGCTCCCATCTCCAGCTATTTCCTCTCAGTAAAACTGGCTCCATGGTTGCCATGTGGCTGTGCAGAGTGATGGTGACATGATGTGAAGCTCTTGGCCCCTGCTCAGGTATCACACATGACATGACACATAGCATGTGGTGGTCACAGGAAAGAACACTGGCTGGACAGTCTGTGCCCATGGAGGTAGCTGGGACCTGTGGCTGGTGTTGCTGGTCCCCTGGGCCTTTTCTGCTCTGGTCACCCCACATCTTGAACTTGCTGTGCCTGCTCCTCCCTCTAGCTCTTTTCTTCGGCAGGTATGGGTAACAGTATCATGGAGGTGACCATGAATGGATCTCTTCGTCAAGAGCTGAAGACTGATGAGAGCGCCTCCTTCCTGGACTTCCAGCTCCTTCCTGAGGTACTCGAAGTGTGTGTGCTGGTGGGCCAGGCTCAGGGCTCCCCTGGTCATGGTGCCATCGTGATTTCTTTCTGTCCCAGCAGGAGCAGCTCTGGGCGGCCTGCACCGGGCGCAGCGAGGTGTACGTCTGGAGCCTGGGGGACCTGGCCCAGCCCCCGCAGCGGATCCACCTTCAGGACTGCTCTGAGATCAGCTGCATGATCCGTGTGAAAAAGCAGGTGAGGGGAAAGCGCCAGCCTTGCAGGGCATCTCTTCCCAGCTTCCTTCTTTCCTAGTGGAGTAAGCCAAATATGAGTGGCCCCATGTTGTCACCGGTTTCAGGTTTCCTAGCGGGACTTCAGAGCTTAGAAACCGGACGTCCCCAGAGTAGGCATCACAAAGCACCACAGTCAGGGCTTAAGCAGTGGAACCTCCTTTCCTCACAGTCGCGGAGGCAGGCAGCCCTGCTGGGCCGGTGAGACTGTGGTCCTGCCTTGCTCAGCCGCTGACCGTCTTGCCTTGTGATGCCTCATGTCCTCAAGCAGCAGCTCTCTGCATGTCTCTTCTGTAAACCCAGCCATGCAGCACGGCCACATCGTGGCTGGTACACTGCAAGGACTCCTGTGCCACACCAAGTCATGTTCCACGGTGCTGGAGAGATTGTGAGCTGCTCTTCTCCCCAAAACTCACATCTGCCCCTCATAAAAATGCATTCACACCATTCCAATCCCCTGCAAGTCCTCACAAATTCCACATTCGCTTTGAGTTCAAAATGTGTAAACACAACCACATAACTCAGGCCTGGGTGAATGTGTCAGTTTTCTGTTCCCGTAGCAAACGTGTGCAACACCCAGTAAAGAGCAAGAGGGTTTACTTGGCTCAGTCCAGTCTGTGACCGGCAGACCCACACGTGGGCCTGTGGTGAGGCAGCATATCAGGGGTGAATGTGTGGCAGAGGAAGCTGCCACCTCATGGCAGGGAGGCAAGGAGAGGCAAGAGGGGTGGAGTCCCAAAGCCCCTTCAGGGCACAGTTTCCTGGTGGGACCAGCTCTGTCCAGCTGTGACCTGGTGAAGCTACAAACAGTTCTCTTCCCGGAGTACAGTAGTGGGACAGGCAGGGGCTAGACAGCCCATCCCAAAGGGAGAAACTGGAAGGAAAGAAGGGGTCACAGGTACCGCTCAAGTCTGAGACAGGAGGGAGGTTCCACTAGAGTCCCCCCCTTTTCTGCAGTGTAACAGACAGGAATTGTATCTATTTAATGAGTACAGCTCCATGTTTCTGTATACATCGTGCATGAACCTGTGTGTGTGTTCTGTGATGGGAACACGTGAGATCTCCCCTCTGCACAAATTTCTCCCTGTGGTCACACTGTCCCCTGGGCTTTAAAGCCTGAGGATGGCCTCTGTGGCTGGAGGCTCTGTCTTTAGAAGCTACCGGGTGGCCCAGCCTCTTAGGCACAGAGACCTGGTCAGGAAGGCCATGAACTGTGGGGTGCACCAGTCAGCCCGGGATGCTGGCAAAGCACCCAGCTTCGAGGGGCCTCCTTCCCTGGCTCACGCCCTCCCCGTTTCTCCCTGCAGATCTGGGTGGGCGGCAGGGGCCCATCACAGGGAAGGCCCAGAGGGAAGATCTATGTGATTGACGTGGAGAGGAAGGCGGTGGAGAAGGAGCTGGTGGCACACACAGACTCTGTGAGGACCCTGTGCTCTGCTGAGGGCCGCTACGTGCTAAGTGGGTCGGGCAGGGAGGAGGGCAAGATCGCCATCTGGAAAGTGGAGTGACCACGGTGAGTGTGCAAGCCTCTGTGGAGCGGGTCCCCTGCGTGGGACCTGACGAGACTCCCAGCAAGCACGCTGTCCTTCAGCCTTTCCAGTTCTGAGGGTGCCTCATGTGGGGCTGCTTCAGCTAACAACATTCGTGATGACCTCTGCTGCAGTTACCTCATGGTTGTCAGAAAGTTCCAGTCTACCAGGGGCCAACACTGGAGCCAGCAGTTTAGCTGACTGTCACATGACCTGTGGTCCTCAGGTCTAGTTTTGCCTCTCCTCTACTTCATTCATTCATTCCACAAACCTTGAGGCCTCACCAGAGTGACTATGGCTGGTTACATGCTGGTGAGCCAAGGAGCCTTCAGCCTTTCATGGACTTTGTTTCAGTGAGGCCTCTGGTTGAGGACAACCACTTGGTGGCTGACCAGGCTTGCACTGGTGGACTGTTCCCAACAGAGCAGGTGAGCAAGACCTGCCTGAGGGGAGAGGCCGTGATTGGTTTTGTCCAGACAGGGGTTGCACCAGCCGAAGCAAGCTCTGTCTTTTCACTGATGTGAGAAACCCTAGAGAGACTTTTTCTACCAAGGAGCCCAAGCAAGAAGCTCTGTCCAGGAGCACATGCGTGCTTGCCCAGTGCAGCCGCCTCCCGACCCATCCTGCCACTTGTGTACCTCATGTGCACACTGCACACAAGGGTGTGGACGACGCTTTGTTACTTGGCTGACAAGGGCTGTCAGTACCCCGTTTACAGAGGGCCCTCTGCACGTTGTCATCTGTGAGGTTGCTGGACGCGGGGTCTTGGGTTTTCAGGACTCTGCTAGGACCCCACGTGGAGCCCAGAGAGGTCTCACTAAGGGCAGTGGCTGTGTTCTGGGCCTGGTGGCATTATGTTTGGAAGATTCACTGACTGCCATGTCCCCTGGGAGTGGCTTTGTGTAGCATGGGCTTTTGGGGCATCCAGGAGATGGTACAGAGGAGAGCTCAGTGCTGCCCCTTCCCAGAGTCTCACTCGCTCACGGAGGACTTTCGTAAACATTGGGAATCTATGTAGAAGTCTGTCAGAAATACAGGTGTAAATTATTTAAGGCCAGTCCACCATAAACAGCTATTTCCAGCTTGTGAATAAGTTCTTTTGTTAATAAATACAGACACCAGTTTCTTTATTCCAGACGCTGCTAGCTGGTGGAAGAGGTGATCGCTAGAAACACCAATTGAGTTATTCCAGTGTAGACTTTTGTCTCTTTCATTCCTGGTGGTAATTTCCAAGCTCTTATGTGACAGTGATTGCATTTGAAACAACCAGTAGAGAAAAGCTGGAGGCTTTTAGGAAGTGGTCATTTGTAACAGAGACAAGTCAGCAACGGAGTGAAGGGGCCTGGAGCGTGCACCCTTCCTGCGTGTGTGTGTGTGGGGGGTGGGGAGAAGAGCGCTTGGGCCTTGAGTTCATTCTCGGAGCCTTGCACGGCTTCCATTATGAGTGACTGGTCACGGAAAGGACTACAGTGAGTGGCATTCACCAACCATGGTGCCGCTGCTCCTGCCTCGGCTCTAGAAACCTGAATTGAATTGGTCCAGAAGTGTCGATCTTGGACCGGAAGGCAGTGCATTTTAATATAATTTCAGCTCCCCAGCTGCACTTCAGACAGGAGGGAAGCAGGCTTGCTGGGGTCAGTGCTCTTGGCAGAGCTGGCCCACAGCTCACCTAGGCCTCTGGGTGACGTGGAAGACATCCCTGAGCCCCAGATGTGACTGTGACATCTGAATTAGAAGTGCATGGCTTTTGTCCCCTTTGAGAGGATTTGTTAGCATAGACAGCAAGGTAGACATGAGCAGGAATGAGGACATGTCGCAGGCTACACGATTCCATTCTAACGCCCCAGGTGGCAGGCCTGGTAGAGTGGCGCAAGTGGTTAATCACCTGCCCGGCAAATGTGAGGCCATGGGTCCAACCCCAGGTGGCCCACGCCCTGGACCAGTGATTAAGATAATGATCCAGGCTGCACACACGATGACAGATGCATGACATTCCACTGGCGCTAAACTGGGAAGAGCAAGGAGGATCAAATACGCAGGTGGGTGAGGTCCCCACTGAGCAGTCGCCAAACCATTTGGGAAGGGGACACAAGGGAAGGGCCTCAGCTTCCCGCCACCTAGCGACCCCGTCTTCTTGGGTCAAATCCCATGCCCAACAGCGTCCACGCAGTCAGTCAGACGTATGCCGCCCCCACCTGGTCCTCCAAGTGTACTTTGCTAATGAGTCACACCTTGCCTTCATCCCGTCCTGTGTGGTTCTTTTGCTGCACCCAACGCAGCATCCTAATCTCAGATGTTGTGCCCAAGAACCAAGGAACACGGGGAAGACCCCATCCCTGGAACAGATTTCCCAGAAAGGGTGGGAAGCCGTGTTGCCGGCTCCTTGTGCAGTCAGCGGCCATTTGCATTTCTTGTAGCAATGCCAAGGCAGGGGCCCAAAGATAGCTGGTTCTTCTTGTCTACATGGCTGCCGCTATGCACACGTAGACTTGGGGAGGCCTTCAGTTTCTGCGCCTTGGAACAGAGAAGCAAGCCAGGGGTCCCGGGCAAGGCCTCGCTGGGGACCTGGCCTCATGACCTGAACCCCTGTGTGACAGGCCTGGTTCCGTCCTGCAGGGCTGGCATAGAGACCGAGAGGAGACACTGAGCTTCTAGTCCACTGCTAGGCACTAGAACTGGTCAGCCACTATTCCTTCCTGGACTGCATGCTAGAATGTCATAAAAATATCAAGAAGCAAGATTAGCTGGGTGTGATGATGCAAACCTGTAATCCCAGCTCTGGGGAGGCTGAGCAGGGACTGATGGACCTCATATAGATACGTCTGTATGCTGACTGGGAATGGTGGCATAGATCTGAAATCCCAGTTACTCAGGAGGATCTTGGGTTTGAGGCTAGCCTTGGTAAAAAGTAAAAAATTAGGGAGACTGTATCCCAAAAACAAACTGAGTGTTGTGGTTCATGTCTGTAATCCCAGCTACTTGGGAGGCAGAGGTAGGAAGATTGCAGTTTGAGGTTGGTCCATGCAAAATTAGCATGAGACCCTGTCTGAAAAACCAACTGAAAAGGCATAGAAAGGACTGGGGGTGGGGCTGATGTAGTGGAGCCCTTGCCTCATGAAGGCCCTGAGTTCAACCTCCAGCACCACCCAAACAATAAGTGAATAATTACACGTGTCCCTGTCCTGACCTGCAGAACCTGTGAATGTGACATTTGGAAAAAGGGCGTTTGTAGATGGAATCAGGAATATTGACCAGTGGCAAATGTCCTGAGGTGGAGAGGCCATATGGAGACAGCAGAGACAGGCAGAGGACCCTGGAGCCACCAGAGCTGGAAGAGGCAGGGAAGTCTCCCAAGAGCCTTGGAGAACTGTGAGGACATAAAACTTCTCTTGTCCTCTGTTTTGTGCTCCATCGGACACTCATGCAGCTCCCACTCACTGAAGGCTCGCTCTGGCCAGTGCTTGCCCAGCACTCCACGTGCACAGTGGTAACCTTCAGGACATCTGTGACGGTGGGAGCACTGCCCCAGGTGAGGCGCCAGGGAACTGGCTGCAGCTGAGGGCGAGGCGGAAGGCCCAGGGTGTGCGCTCCTCACGTCCCGAGGGAGTCTCAGGCTGCCCTTGCCCTGTGGGAAGCTCTCCTGACAGCCAGCCGGAATTCCAGCCCTGAGCAGGGTGCTGGGGTGGGAGGCTGGGATGGGCTGTGGTGAAATGCTACATCTGTAGCCCTGGCCCCCTCGGCCAATGTGCTGGGCTGGGGGATGGAGAAGAGCAATCGCCCCAGCTCGGCGCCTTCCCTGCGGGTCAAGGAGCTGTGGTCCGTGTCTCTTGAGCCCTAGGAGCCAGCCGTGCAGCAGTGTGGTTATTGATGGGTGGCTCAAATGAGCTGAAGGACAATGGTGCCCTTAGCTGAGCCTGATCAGGTGTCACCTACATCTCCCTGTGGATGGCCACTCAAAAATAAGGTAGGAGAGGAGTGACAGAGCAGCAAAAACCCCAGCTGTGTCAAACAAAATTAGCAGCAAAACGGTAGACTTTTGAACTTAACTGCACTGGTAATGACATTTAACGTGAAAGGATTAAACGCTCAATTAAAAGGTACAGAGTGTCAGACTGGACAGAAATGATCCAACTGTATGTTGTCTCCAATAAAAGGGAAAACAGAATTGATGAAGCCAAAAATTGATCCTGTAAAGGGAAAGGAGCGAGAAAGGAAGGACAAATTGTCAGTACCAGGAGTGAAGGGGATAAAAATCTCACAGACATCAAAAGGATAGCCTCAACAACTAGCCTAGACAAAATGTATGAATTAGAAACAGGGAAGATGTATGTCATATGGCTGGGTGCTGGAGGCTCATACCTGTCATCTTAGCTACTTGGGAGGCTGCGATCAGGAGGATCACAGTTCGAGGCCAGCCCTGGCAAATGGTTTGCTGGATTCCATTTCCAAAATAACCAGAGCAAAATGGACTGGAAATAGGGCTCAAGTGGTAGAGCACCTGCTTTTTGCAAGCATGAAGCCCTGAGTTCAAACTCCAGTCCCACCAAAAAAAAGTGTGTGCCAAGCCATGATAAGCAGAGAGAAGCTTCAGGGCCATCCTGGTATCGCATGAGGCAGGCTTCAGTTCACTAAAGGAACAGGTAGCAGTGTTCATCAAGAGGTTGTGACAATCTCGTTTAGGATTTTATTAATCGTAGAGCCTGAAGATACACGAAACAAACTGATAGAACTGTCAGAGGAAACGGATACATCCAAGGCCACAGGTGGAGATGGGGCATAGCTCAAGTGGTAGAGCACCTAGCTAGCATGGGCAAGGCCCTGGGTTCAATCCCGAGCACTAGAAGAAAGTTATAAAGGTAACACCCTTTCTCCGATGACTGACAGAATAAGAAAACCTTGTGCGAGCAAATGGAAGACGCACACTGGCCCTGCCCGAGAGCCCTGCGCCGCAGACGGCAGGACGTCTGCTCCATCAAGTGCACGCACTGGACAATGGTGGAAAGGTGTAAGTCCTACAGAGTGTGTTCTCTCCTCGCAGAGACTGAATTAGAAGTCAGCTGCTGGTAACATGCCTGAAAATCTCCCAAAGTACAGTTACGTTGGAAATTGAGCAATAGACTTCCACATAAGCCCCAGGCCAAAGGGAGAATCACAAGGGAAACTAGGAGGCATGTGGAGCAGAATGATTGTGAAAACACATCAGAATTTGTGGGATGCAACTCAAGAAGTATGAGGAGAAAAACTGACTTAGTGCCTACGTTACAGGGAAGATTTAAGGCCTCAGCGCGGAAGCTCACGCCTGTAATTCTGCCACTCAGGAGGTGGGGATTGGGAAGATTGCAGTTTGAGGCCATTCCAGGCAATAAACTTATCAAGACCCCATCTCAGTCATTAAGCCTGGCACAGTGGCATGCCTGTGACCCCAGCTATGGGGAGGGTGTAGGTAAGAAGACCATGGTGAGGCTGATCCAGGCGAAACCGAGACCCCAACTGAAAAATAACTAAAGCAAAAAAAGTGCCGGGACTGTGGCTCAGTGGGAGAGTGCCGGCCCAGCGACAGGTGGAATAATTAAGACAAACCTTAAAAAGAAGACCAAAGGTGGGAAGTCATTACTTGGTAGTAAACTTCACCAGAAACTAGTAACTGGACAGTGTGACCGGCAGGAGAGATCAGGTCAGCAGAACAAGATGGGGGTCTAGATCGCAAGTCAGTCAGCCGACTCCCAACAAGGATCCAAGGGGGTCTGCCACCAACTGCACAGTGACACCAGGAAAAGGGTGAGAGAGGAGCAGCTCGACTGCCCTCGGCGCACGGCACTTACGGCAGCTCACAGGCCCACGCGTGAAGCAGGAGTTCTGGAAACTACATGTGACAGCACCTTTGCAACCTAGTGGCAGACACTTTTTTAAAAAAGGGAACATAAAAAAATGCCAAACGAGAGAAAACGGGTTAGACTTCACTAACACAACAAAGAGCTGGTGGAGGGGCTCAAGGTGGAGGCCCCGAGTTCAAATCCCAGCAAAAGGGGGAGGGGCCCCAGGGAGCCACGTCAGTGAATTTGCTCAAGGTGCGTTAGATGCATGTGTGGAAAGACTGCAATGAGGCCCTTGGTACAGTCAGTACACAGTAATAAAATCTTTTTTATAAAGAAAAAAATCAGAGTGGGAGATATACTTCATCTGTAAAAATAAAGAATTTTCATCCAAAATATATAATGAGGTTCCGGAAGTCAGGATGCAAACAGCCTGATTAAATGACACAGAAGACACCTACCAGGAACCCGTGTGGACGGTCAGTTTGGAAGATTAGCACAAGTTGCGCACGCCACGCCAAAATGTCATGCAATGCTCCCAGCATGGCTGATGTTAAAAAGACAACAACAGAGGCCACCAGGGAAACAGAGCAAGCACTCTGATGCACTGCGTACTGCAGTGGACACTGGGGCCATGGACAGTTTCTCTCAGATGTCTCCCCAACTCTGCTTGTACACCAGGAGAGATGGAAACACGTCTGGTCACAGAGACACTTTAAAAAGATGTTAGTGGCATCTTTTTTCTCTAATAGTCCCTAGCTGAAAACACCCAATGTCCACCAACTGAAAATTTATGTTATAGCCTTCCAATGGAATAGTACACAGCAGGGAAAAGGAACAGAATTACTGATGTGACTCTCCTGATGCTGAGAGCTAACTGTGTGACCCATTCAAAGAAGTGCAAAACAGGAAGCGAACCCTGTGGCTGAGGCCATATGGCAGCTGCCACCTGGGTGGGTGAGGAAGGAAGGCGGCAAAGGAGAACTCTCAAAGGAGCCAGGTAAACGTTTTGTCCCTTGTAGACCAGGCGTTGGCTCTGCAGGCGTACACTTTGTCCAAACTCGTGGTGTTGCGCTCAGCCCTGTTCCACAGTGTATGCAAACACACCCCAATTAAAATGCAGACGTCACGGTCTGGAAGGCGGAACATCTACATGTGCCATAAGGATGCTATGTGGTGACGATGGCCACAGGTGGGTTTGGTTACACCAGCTGGTGTGGACACAGAAACTGGGCTGAAGACTGGGCCATAGGGCTGGGGAGCAATTTGTGGCACTTTTTGCTGCCACTACAGCGTGTCCTCAGCAGGCAGGCTTTCCCTGCCTCCACAGGTCTTTCAGGTAAGACGTGTGCTCGCTCCTCCACCCAAGGGAAGGGGCCTCATGGCATGGACCCCTGGCTTGGGCCCTGGGGTGACATCTCTGCAGTGCACTGGTGGCATTGTGGCTGGGTGGCCAATATCTAGTGGCCACCCTCTTCACCTGGCAGGGAGTCTTGGTTCTGGCACACACAGGGCTGGTGGACTGCAGGAGGCACTTCTGGCTCTCGCCAGCCGGGGACCAGGAAGGGCAGTGTAGCCTCCAGCAGCACGGTTCCAGGCCTGCACTTTCAGCCCTAGCACTGGCCCCCTCCCCAGGCGCTGCAGTCTCCATCCCTTGGCTGTCATAGCAGGAGACCTGGGTGGCAGGGATTTGCCTGGGAGGTGCAGGGCTCCAGGCTCTGTCTCCATGCTTGGCAGGGGGAGGGTGGTGGTGGGGGGAGCGGGGGCGGTGAGGTCCAGCCCTGTTGTCAGGTCCCTCTTCCTCTCCCATCCTCTGCAGCTCCCCCGACCCAGCTCCTCCAACCCTGTGGGGCCCGGGAACCCAGTGTCCTTTCTCTACCTTGCTTCTGCTCCTGCTTGCTGGGAGGTCAGAAGAGCAACTGAACAAGCCCACAGATCTGGGCTCAATGCCTCAACTATGTGTGTGACTGGTGCCCTCACTTCCTCTCTGACACCAGGCTGTGACAGACCTCTTGGCAGGTCACCAGAAGACCCAGATAACATGCTCTGCACAGAAGGTCTGGGGAACTCCCTTCTAGCTGCCCAGGACCCTGTGTGCACCGGGGGCCAAGGGCTACCCACTGCCCAGCTCCACAGACCCCACTCCCCAAATGCTCTCGGGGCAGTCTCTGATCCTCCAGCAGTGGGGAGGCTGGGGACCCCCTCCCACCACCTGAACAGGTCTTCAGGGAGGGTCCCAAACCCCTTACCTCCAGGCAGGAGCAGCTCTGGAGGGCTGGGGCTGCTAGGAGCCTGAGCTGGGGGTCTGAGGGATGGGCCCCAAGTTTGCAGTGGACAAACCCAGGGAAACCTCTGCCCAGTCCAATGCCCACCCCCAGCTGTAGGCGTTGGCCTTGGGCAGGTGTGTTCTCCCCGCCCCACCATCCAGGCTCTGGGAGGACAGAGGGCAGCGTGGGAAAGTGACACAGGCACAGATCATCAGCTCAAAGGGAAAAATTTATTAAGAGCCAACCACAGCGTATCAGAAGAGAGGCAGGGGCACTGGCCTCGGCACATGACCCTCTGTGCAGGATGGCACAGAGGATGCAAATTGTGCTGGGCAGGCACCGTAACAGCGAGGCATAACACAGCCACGTGGCAAAGCACGGAAGAAAGCCCTAGGCGCTGTGTAGGATGGACACACGCCTAATAAAATAACGTGACAGGCAGACTTACTCTTTACAGTCCTCATAAAATGCAGTGTCATGTGTTTAACACACACTTAAACCATTGCTAAAATCAGCAAGAGCTCTTTATTAGTCTCCAACTTAATTAAGTTGATCAAAGTGGCCCTGTGGCCAAGTCCACAAAGGAACTAAGTAGTTTTTCCCCCAGGAGTCTGGGGAGCTTTTCTGTTACAGAGGCATTTCTAACAAAGGGGCCATCCTGCTACCAAGTGCAGTATGAGTCTGCAGCAGCTCCAGGGGGACAGCAGAAGCCACCAGGAGGGCACTTGGCCTAAGCCATGTCAGGCTGGGGCTTCTGCAGGGTGGCATGCTTTTTTGAGGTGACAGGGCTCCTTGGGCCGGTCCAGTTGATGTCTGGGTGGTGGTGGGCAGTCCCCAGGCCTCTCGGATGCAGGCAGACAGCAAGTCTTAGAAGCAGGGTCACCTGCTCTGGGGCAGCTGCCAGAGGGATCAGCAGCGGTGTGACTTGCTCACTGAATTTTCGTGGCTAAAGAGGGGCAGAGGGTCCAGTGGAAGAAGGCAGCTTGGTGATGTCTTGGTGTGTCCTCCTGAGGCCAGTTAGTACCCAGCGCCCAACAGTAGTGCTTGATGTGTTCCACAAACTTGGCCTTCAGGACTGTGGTCACTGCGGCTTCTGCACAGACCACTGGCCATGGGAGGGAACAGCTGCAATCCCCAGGCCCTTTAAATACTACCTGCCCCCCTCACCCCTGGACCTCCACAGGCTGTGGCTGTGGTTTCCCTCAGACCCGCCCTCCCCACGCCCTGAGCATGGCAGGATGCCCGTGACCGAGGGCTCAGCTAGCCTGCCTCCCCTGGGGGAGGTGACCGGGTCTTGGGGCCCCTTCAATACAGCTTGGTTGCTAAGACCCTGCCTTAGGCCGGCTCTCCAGCCATGAGGGAGGGCACGCCAGTGTGCTAAGAGACCAGGAGAAGCTGGAGAGGCTGGCTATGGGTGCTGCCATGTTCCTGTGCAGGGGATCTCTTCAAAATTAGGTTCTTTACTCAGGTGACTTTTGTGAGGAGCAAAGACCAAATGAGAGCAATGCCTCTGGTTTTGACATTTAGTCCACATGTATTACGTGACATCCGACCAGCAGATGGGCAGAGACACCACAGCTGAGGGACCTCCCCAGCCCAACCCTGGTGCAACAAAGCCAACGACATTTTGTGTCCTCAGCCCTGGCCACAAGTTGGTAGGTGCATGGTCCCATAGGGTCCTGGGTCCAGGCACCAGACACAGTGGCTTTCCTCTCAAGTTCACGGGTGCAGATGAGTTGCTTGGGGGCACTTGGCGTTCCCACCACCCCTTGGTGCTGTGTCTGAGGCGCCAAGTCAGTAAACAGAAACCTTTATGCTAGCGCAGCAAGCTGAGGCGGGCCACACCCTGCCGACGGCCAGCCTTCCTCTTGCGCTTCTCTCTGACACAGGTGGTGGCACTGGCAGTTTTCAGTTAGCGCAGTTCTGGAGTAATCTCACCGCACAGAAGGGGCCGGAGCAGGTCTTCCCCGCACCCAGAGCTCAGGCCTGTGTTGACCTCTGTGCTCCCAGGAGGGCAGCCCAGAAACCACTCCAGACCCCAGGACCTCAGGCCAAGGGGCAAACGCTGAAGGCTTCTAACTTTGCAGCCACTATGACGCCGATGCTCAAACAGTGGCCACGCGCTCGGCTGGCTTGTTTTCCAGCCGGTTAATGACAGTGGCAAACACAAGCTGTCTTTTGTTGGTTCGTGTCATGGCGGTGGGCAGGCCAACAACTCCAGGGCTAGGACATTGCAGGTGGTGGGCCCGTATGTCTGCTTCCTCTTGAAAGCCCGCTCTTGGTCCGTTCCTGGGGGTGGACACCCTGGCAGTGTGTGCACCTCCTTGCTTGGTTTGGGCTGGTCCCCATGCCCCACAGCGTTCTCTGTGCGCTGGCCTCGTCTACCTAGTTGCCAGGTGGAGAAGCAGGACAGCCAGCTGAAAGGAAGGCCGTGATCCGGGTGACCAGGGCAGAGGTCTCTGGGGGGAGGAGCTACACTCAAAGCATAGAAGTGACCTGCTACGGATACAGGCTGAGACAGCCAGGGTCACCTGTCGCCTGAGGGAAGGGACAGAGCCCCCAGCCGATCAAACACTGTGGGCTGGGTGGGGTTTTGCAGGGCGGAGGTGGTGCTCGGTGGTGGGAAGCACCAGATTCACAAGGCCATCAGTGTCTGGGGCTGTCCCCTGCAGACCTGGGATCCCAGGGGGGTGTGGCGAGTGGAGTGCACCCTTAGGCCCCGGGCACAACACACACAACCGATGAAGTGTCACCAGCGCAGGAGGCACAGCAAGACCAGGGCCTGCGAGGACGGCGAACACAGCCACGCCCGAGCACACAGAACATTCAAGTATTTATTGAGAAACTGCTTAGTTTCATCTTGAGATATATACATGCATGTATCTGCCCTAGAATGGTCGCATTGCAGCATGGTTCCCATGCGTCTGAAAGGACTTCACTTAGGAAACACCAACTGTAGACCGCGACACTATCACAAGGTCTCACTTCATCCTTCTGATCTCAGTGAGCTTAGACTGACCGTTCTGAAGAAGAGCAGCGACCACTCAGTTTTTAATAGAGTCTGTGGTTTGAAAAACATTTCCAAACGGCTGCAGTGTTTGATGGCTGCACTTTCCTGAAGCCCATCGTTTGCTTATTTGCTGAAACCAGAAAAACCAGGCCTCCTGCCCCAACAGACACCTGCTTCTCTTTGCATTCATTCTGGTTCCAGCGACAAGCGGGGGGAACTCTGGGTGAGGAAGTCATGAGAGTTCAGATGGAGTCCAGCAAGAGTGTCCCCGCATGGCCGGGAGGGAGGCTCTGGCACCCTCACATGCCTGCTCGCAGGCTGCTGACACCCACACGCTCGAGGTAGCTTTATAGCAGGACCCAGGAGCCAGTGCCCACGTGGGGCTCTGTGCTTGGGATTCCCAGGAAACGGTGTAGAGACGAATCAAAGTGCGATGGAGTCACAACTGCCTGCCCCCTGCTGGGGAGCAGTGTGGAGGCTGTGAGGCCTCCTGGGAGGCTGTGTCACATGAGGATGTTTACATGTGCACACGAAGGCTCAGGCATGCACACAGGAGCCAATCTGAGTTCAGACTCTGTCCCCTGCTTGGTGACATCCCTCCCTTGTGTGGAGACCGCCCCTGCAAAATGGCCACATTCTATCCATGGTGGCCTTGAGGCCCTCCCCAGCTTTGGTGCAGCCACCCAAGCACAGGGCTGTTGTGGGCACAACTTGTCAAACTCTCAGAGGAAAAGAGATGCTGTTCTTCTCAGAAGAACCTCGGTGTAAAAAAGAAAATCCCTTCCAAAAGACTCATGGAACAATACGCTCCAACACCTGCGGCACCACGAATGTGGGGGGATGTGGGGACACCCACGCCCTCAGGACACCTGAGCGCAGAGCGCTCAGCCACCACTGCTCTGCTACTACCTGACCCACTCAGGCGTGATGTGCCAAGGACGCCAGCTTTTGCACTTTGAGTTACAATTTTAGAAATGCAAAAATCTTATTTTTTTCTAAGTTGCTTATTGACGCTATTGTAAATGTTTTACTTTTTAAAACCATGCAGAATAATATACCTGCAGAATAAAAGACAGAGCTGAAATTAAAAGATCTTTTTCAATTGAATAAAAAAATTTCAAATGATTTTTTTTAATTGTGGAAAAAGTAATTCGTGTGGTATTTTGCCTAATAGCTCAAACCTACCCTAGACTACTGAGCTTGGGCTGTGCTCTGGGAGGAGCCCTGGCTCCCCCCACCCCGAGGTGCTGCAAGGACAATCGTGTGGCCGGCCTGCTGTCTCCTCTGCAACGGTCTAAGTGTCCGTTGGCGCACTTAGACCATGGACTCGGTCTCCACTGGCCGGGGCAGGCCCTCCTTCCGAGAGAGCTTCAGGACTGTGGGCTTCTCACTGCCTCTGCGGCCCCCGCCTTCGCCAGCGGGCTGGGAGGACAGGCCTTTCTGCTCTTCCTTGGCCTCCTCTGACACCTCGGGGTAGATCACCAGAAACGTGGCTGTCAAGAAGCCCAGGAAGGAGCCCACGGAGGCCACCATGGGGATGACGCGGACGGTCCCCAATGCATCAACCACGCCCCCGAGGGCAGATGCCACCAGGATCTGGGAGATGTAAACCTGGCAGGAAAGGATGGCGCAGTCGATGCCAAACCCACGCGTGGAGTTCCCGGGGCTGTGCTGGACGTACTGGAAGAGAGGGAAATGCGGTGAGGGCTTGGAGGGGGGCAGCCATCGCCCTGCATTTCAGGGTGCAATGTCAGCTCAGAAGTCTGTTCTCCCTGGCCCCCAGATCCTGCCCTCATCATGCAGGAGGAAAGGGAAGGGAAGGGAAGGGGGCAGCAGGGTGACTCCCTTCGCCCTGGGCTTAAGCAGGGGCTGGGGAAGCTGTGCACGTGGCCTCAGGTGGGAACTACAGGAAACACAGTTCCATTTGTGCTTCTCGAAGAAGATACAAAAGATGACTGCTGTGCCTGTTCTGCCGAACTCCTACCATGTCCCTAAGGGGGCCAGGCCCCATCCTGCAGATAATGAAAAAGGCCAATCTGCCAGGAAGTTTTAAAAGCAAGGCAACTGTAGATGTGTGTGTACTATAATCACAGCTGAGCATTTTAATACACCTTTCGTAAACAAGCAGACAGAAAGCAGGAAGAATGGGAGAGCTAAGCAATGAACGTGACCTGACGCTGATCCGGCACAAAGCACAGACTGCGCCTTCTTCCCAAGTGCACATAGGCACCTACCCACTCTGTGGTGCCCTGGTCCTCAGAGGGGGCCTCAATTAACTTTAAGGCCCAAATCATCCAGAGATATGTTCTCTGACCTTGAGGAGTTATACTTGGAATCCCTAACACGGCCTTTGGAAAACCCCGAGTCAGAAATCCATCAATGGACTTCTAAATAGCACAGGCCCAAAGCAGAAACATCACAAAGCAAGGAAAACCTGAGGGCACTGAAATACAACTCAGTACACTAAACTTGCAGCGTGCGGTGTGAGGTGTGCACAGAGTTTTTGGAAAGTGAGAGTTCCAAATGCAAGCCTGGAAAGTCAGAGAAACCAGAAAACAGCACACTAAACCAAGGGCCATCGGAAGGGAAGAGGCAGTAAAAAGTTCCGGTCCCTTAAATGTGAAGCCAACACAGCATATTAAAGATACGAAAACCGCTCGGAAAACAGAATCAACCAGCTCTCAACTAACGGCAACAATGACAAAGATGACATCACCATAGATTAGGTTATATTAGATACAAGTACTTCCCACTGGAGTTTGAAAGAGCAAGAAGACAATGAAAACTGTAATCCCATCTACTCGGGAGGCAGAGACTGGGAGGATTGTAGTGAGGACAACCCAAGCAAAAAGTAAGCAAGACCCCATCTCAATCAATAACCTGGGCATGCTGGTACACACCTGTGATCCCAACTATGCAGGAGGCTGTAGGTTGGAGGACTTTGGTCCAAGGCTGGCCCCAGACAAAAAGCAAGAGACCCTATCTGAAAAATACCTAAAAGCAAAAAGTGGTACAGCAACTGTGTGGCAACTGCAAGGCCAAGGTCAAACCCCAGTATTGTCACACACACACACACACACACACACACACACAGTATGGAGAGTCAGGAAGTAAGAAGTAACATTCTCTGCAGATGATGGAGCTGCATGCGCAGAAGGTCCAAGAGGATCCATGTGAGAGGGAAGCCTGTACCGGAAGCCTGTCATGCTTGTGGAGAAGGCTCAGAACTGCAGTGACAACTCTCCCCAGATACATCATGTCATGTGCGGTCTAGCATGCAGGTGACAGGTCTGAGAACCAGACTTGGGCACTGACACTTCTGGGTGTGAGGACTTGCTGCAGAACTACTTTAATCAAGAAGGAGTGACGTTTGTCCAAAGACAGAAAGACTAGAAGCACACGAACACACTTATGTCTCTGACAAGCATGGCCTTGCTGGGGGAGGGGGCCGGGCCACCTGCAGACCCGCCACCTCAAGCTGCACAGACCCCGCTGCAGGCAGACAGGGTGGGGCATGCATGAAGCAGTGCTACAACTTGAGTCATAGAGAGAGTTGCAGCAGAAGCCTGACGGTCCAGTCATGGAGTCCAGAAACAGGCATAAGTCGCATCAGAAGTTAGTACAGGCTGGGCACCCATAATCCTAGTTTCCTGAGAGGCTGAAATTGGGAGGATCTCGGTTTGAGGCCAGCCCAGGCAGATAGTTCATGAGACCCCCTCATCTCCAAAATAACCAGAGTGAATGGACTGGAGGCATGGCTAGAGCAGTAGAGCGCCTGCTTTGCAAGCACAAAACCCTGAGTTCAAACCCCGGTCCCACCAGAAAAAAAAAAAGTTAGGAGGGTAGTCGCTCTGAGAGTGGGGTCCTAAGAGGCTTTGGTTATGGTCTTTCTGCAACTGTGATCTTCCTTCTGAAAGCATCAGCAAGCAGCTCACTTACGACTTAGTCACGGGACACTTCAAAGATCACTTAGAAAATGCTGCCGTGAAATTCCCATCGCCACTGTATTGCATGGGACGTTCATTTTGCTCTAACAATGTGAGAAACGAGGCGAGGAAACAGCTCAGGGTGGGGAGGAGACCTGAGTGCTTTCTTCTCCCCTGGAAAGGGTCTGCATGTCCCTCTGAGAACCCCGGTCCACAGCCAGAGTGGCTGCTGAGCAGCGGGGGAGTGAGGCTTGTCTGAACTGTGATGTTGCCCAGATGAAAATAAACACTGAGTTCCAAAGACTTACCACGTAAGATATCTTGGTCAGTTTAAAACTGAGTATGCGTTACATCGATGATGTTTTAGATCTATTGGGTTAAGAAGAATAATTTCCTAACATGCCGACTGGGAGCATAACGCGCCTAAACTGGCACTCTACCCAGTGGTCAGAGTTCTCACTCCTTGGAGGACATGACTGCTGGAGGGGCTGTGAGGCAGGACAGATAATCTTCCCAGGTGGGAAGAGCTGACGTCTGTGGAGGCGACAGCAGGCTAGTGGCTGGACCTGAGCTGTGCGGCTGGCTAGCTCCCAGGCCGCCTTGTCACCGTCACCACCCCACCTCCGCAGCCCGAGCGGACATACCTCCTTGATGTCGTGGTAGTGGCCCAGCAGGGCGTAGGGGCAGTAGGAGATGCTCATGGAGACGATGCCCATGGTGCTGATGGTGACCATGGCCACGTAGACGTTGGGGAACACAGCCATCACAGCGGTGCCCATGGAGAAGCCCAGCGTCCCCAGCACGTAGATCACCCTGATGCTCAGGTCGTAGTTGTCCAGGTACTTCTGTAGCAGCGCTGCACAAGGGCCACGGGACTGAGGGCTGGCTCCTGTGGGCTTCCTTGCCCATCCTTCCCTCACCAGCAGTGTCCCCCTCTGGCTGGAGCCGGGCACCCTCCTCTTGCCTGTCTGCACGACAAGCTCACACGTGCTCCTGAGTGTGCCCGGGTGCCCAGGGGCTCCAGCTCCTCGGGAGGAGGTTAGCCTGTGGCCTCGAAACCTGGTCCTTCCTACAACCCTGGGCTTCCCTGGCTGCCAAGACCGCCCACCCACGGGAATTGTTCCACTGCTTCAGGGTCCTGCCCCTTGCTGGCTTTTCTTGCGTGGCACCTCTGGTCTCCTGCGTACCTTCTGCTGTAGCAGCTCAAATGCTGCCTCCTGTGGGAATGTCCCCATGGGAGGGACGCTCTCCTCTCTGAGAATTCTATTAAGAGTGGTGACAACAGTGCAGTCACCGTTGCACAGGCACCTGGCTGACCATGTGGCATTGACCTTGGCCACCCCAAAGTCCAGCCAAGGCTGAGATGAAGTTGGCCTCTTCCTCAGGCTCAGATTGTGGGCAGGTGAGGGGACCCGGCCACGCTGTCCCAGGACAGAACCTGCCACCCCCTCAGGATAGCAGGACCCAACCGTCCTGCAATCTGACTGTAGAGCTCCCTGTAGGGCTGGGACAGCCTGCTAATCAGGTGCCACCGCACTGGATGGCACAGCGGGAAATACCCACTCCCCGCAGTCAGCCCACCATGGCCATCCTTGGGGCTTCTCCCTTTCAGGCAGAAGTTAGGGTCCCGCTGACGCCTCGACCTTTTGGCCCCTATTTCTGATTGCAGAGCATTCTCTGGGGTGACTACGTACCCGATCCAGCACCTCTTACCTGAGCAAATAGCACCAGTAGCAGCATAGATGACCAGGCCCCAGCAGCCCATTTTCACGCCGGCATTGTAGGCCTGCCAGGAGGTGGAGTTGGAGGGAGCCTGTTCCAGAAAGGGCGCAGGAGAGGGTTAGGAGTGCATTTGCTGTGCTCCCTGGCAAAGCAGGTAATTTTGCATTTCAACTGCAGGTGAGCTGTTTGTGGGGGGGGGCAGAATCTGCCCAAGCTCAGGTCACTGCCTAGGAAATCCTTTTCAGACCCTCCCAGCCCATGTCTTACTGCACCCCCAGTACTACCTCCTCCCTGAAAAAGGGCTGCTGTAGGCCTGAAGTGACTCTGCTCTCTTGGAGTTTTCACAAGGGACCTGGAATGGGGAGGCAGAGGCCTGGGTACTGAGGCTGCTGCAGCCTCTGGCGGGTGTCAAGCACAGCCTCAGGGTGAGCCAGATGACCTCAGAGGGACCACGAGCACACTTGAACAGCTGAAGTAATGTTCCCTTCAGGCTTCTTAATGTCTTGCCTGTGAGAACACCTGGCATTCACAACTGGCCACCAGGAAGGCTGCTGTGACCTCATCGTGGTTCACACAACCCTTGACCAAGTGACACACATGCACTGGCGTCCTCTCTGACAACATGGGAGCGAGTGTACAGGGGCAACAACAGCAGCTTAGAAGAGACCCCTGACACCATGGTCTCCTCAGCGTGCCATGCTGTCACGACTGCCAAGGTGCTAGTTGTGACTGTGGCAGGCACCAGCCATCCCCTCCCAGCCTCAGGGTATTCACCTTGGGGTCCCCTTTGAAGATGAACTGGCCCATGAAGTCGGTGTAGAAGACAGCCTCAGCAATGACCGAGAACCAGGTGAGCAGGTGGCAGAGGCAGAGGCGTGTCAGCTCCTTGGGCATCTTCAGCATGGACAGCCACAGCAGGCGCACGGTGGTCTCGCCCTCCCCCTCCTCACTGTCCGTGTCCCCGCTGGAGGTGGTGGCCCCGCTCCGGTTGCGGTGCCGGCCGCGCTGGCGCTGGCGCTGCTGCAGGTCGTACAGGTCGCTCATGCTGCGGGATGGCTTGATGAGGACCACGGCGTTGGCCCGCCGGTAGCGGTAGCAGTGGGAGCCGATCTTGCCGTAGTAGGAGAAGGTGCTGGAGGCTTGCCTGCGGAACGCGTGCCGGCGCCGTCTCATGGAGCCCGACGAGGCTGAGGGCTTTGTGTCCACCCTGGAGTGGCTGCTGAGGGCGTCCCTCAGCGGGGAGCCACTCCCGTTTGGGACTTTGGCTTCACTCAAGTGATTATCGAGCAGGGTGTCCTCCTCCCTGGATTCCCTGAGGAGCGTGGACAGGCGGGGCGGCTTGGCCCTCAGGAGCTCCTGGCTGGTGCTCCGGGGCGTGCTGGGGCAGGAGGCATTGTGGAAGACGGAGGGCTCGGTGTCGTGCAGGAAGAGCAGCTCGGGCTCCATGTCCAGCGTGGCGTCCGGCACGTGCAGCACGGAGTCGCTCTTGCTGCGCACAATGTCCACGTCGAGGCAGTCCAGGGGAAGCCCGTGCTCCGACTGCACCTCATCTGGGAACAGGGGGCCCCCGTCCTGCAGGCCCCCACCGAGCGAACTCAGGAGGGCGGTGGGGGCTGCGGTGTAGCTGAGTCTGGCCCCAGGCAGGGCGGTCTCCTCTGCACCGCGGTCGTGCTGCGGGCTGTACTGCTCCTCCTCGATACTGAAGAGGTGCAGCGCCACAGACACCGTGAAGATGACAGCGGCAAAGAAGAACAGCACCTGGTTCTGAGTCCGGAACCAGTCTCCCAGAAACGTCTGTGTCCAGTCCAGCCCGCCCAGCACGTAGCCGATGGCCCCGCCGAGGCCTGGGTGGGGAGAAGCAGCCAGTGAGCTGTGTGGACACTACAGCCCCAGCAGCAGCACAGCCCAGCTCCAGGCTCGGCACAGAGGCCTTTGCCTTCAAGTGGGGCCTGGCTGCCCCTCACCGTTACATAGCAATTTAGGACACATAGTTTGGAAATGGAGAGTGAGGAAACGGTAGGAAAAACAAGAAGTCCCAGTGACCTCAGGTCTGAGAATCATGGCCTCACAGAACTGTTGCTTAATTCGTTAAGAGCAAACTAAGCCCAAGACCAGATGCAGCTGCTGCCCCATGTGCGTCTGTGTACAGATGCCAGCCCCCAACCCATCCCGTGCGCCTCTCTGAACTGAATGCTGATCCCCTAAGCCTAAGTGTGAAAACTGCCCAACTAAGGCAGTGGTCAGCGCGGGGCCCTGGCTGTGTCCACCTGGTGAGCACACCACCCCAGCAGCCTAACTCCTTATTCCTGCTCCTCAGTCCCTTTGTCCCACTGGGATTGGGGCTGGGAGAGAGCAGCCCAAGGTCACTGCATTGGCCCCAGCTGCCCGGGAAGGACCACACTGGCCTCGGTACAAGCTCCTGCCCTCCTGTCACGGGGTCACCCACCACCCCAGCCCTGCCGTGGCACGGGTGTTCTACCAGCAGAGAAGGCGTGGATGTTGAGAGCCATATCCTGCTCCTCGCTGTCCACGACGTCCAGCAGGTAGGCGCGGATAGGCCCTTCAGTTGCATCGGCGCTGAAGTCCAGAACCACCACTCCCAACACCGTGAGGACGATGCCAATGGGCTGCCGGGTAGGGACATCGCTGAGGGCCAGACCTAGACAGAGCATGGGGAAAGCAGTCAGACTTTAGCTTGGCCAAGTCATGTTCTGGAAGCAAAGGCTCCTCTGCCAAGGAGATGGAGGGGACCAGTGTGTCCTCTCCATGAAGGCAGCAGGCTTTGGGCAAGAAGTGGGCTTTTGTCCCCTTTCTGCGGTTGACAAGTATCTTTCTCCCTGTCTGGAGACTGACAGCCCCCATGCCTGCCTGCTTTTCAAGCAGAAAATGGGTCCTTCCTGCCCCACCGCTACCAAGGGAGCCCACGTGCTGGAAGAACCAGCTAGTGCGTGCACAGTGCCATCACTTCTACCTCTGCCAGAAATCTACTCCTTCAGCTCCTTCACGAAGGATCTTGGACAGTCAACCCTGCTCTGTGGCACCCCAGTTAGACCACAGGCTGCGGATCTGCAGGGGGCTCCTAGACCCAAGTGGACAGGGCAGAGACAGCTTTCTTCCCCTTCTGTCTGCACAGTCTGGTCTGGTGGTGAGGCTCTGAGGAGTGTGCAAGCAGCCCCAGTGCCCCTGTGGCCCTCGGGAGACGGATGTAGTACCTTAAGAAGCTAGCCTCTCGCATCAAGTCCACCTGCTCAGGGGAGTTTACCATGAGCCCAAGATCAAATATCAGGCCTGACACCTGACCAGCTCAGTCTGGGTCTCACCTTACTGCCAGCGAGAGGGGCCCAGCACCCTTGTACATGCAATCAGGGAAGCTTAGCCTAGGACAAGCCCCAAAGCACTGTCATCAGGCACACCTGACAAACCAAACATGGGAGGCACAGAGAAGGGGGCTGCTGCACAGGAGGCCCCACTGGTCTCAGGCCAGGTGCAGGAGATGGTGGCCAGGCCAAGGGACTGCAGCTTCCAGACTGGCTGCACGTGGGTGAGGGGAGGCTGCTCCTGGGCAATGCTGACAGGCTCAGCGAAGTGGCACTCCCAGTTCTGGATGGAGACACCTGCATGCTGCATGGCTGGAGGAGGCCACCTTGCAAAGAGGGAGTGACTTGGGGAAGGAGATACTGGGACAGAGAGAGGGACAAGGCTGCCACAGCTTATCTCCACTCTGGCATGAGGAGCTGAAGGGCTCTCCCACACTGAGGTGATTTTCGGGGCCCTCTCTGTTGACATCCCCGGCTTCCACTGGACTCAGTGCAGACCTGGGCAGCTACTCTGCTCAGAAACAGTTCCTCTGGCTCGATGGTGCCAGAAACTGAGGCTTTGTTTTCACTAGTTCTGATGGGCGTCCTCAAGGCAAAAAATATTTTCCCACACATAGTTGCTTTAATTAAAAACAAAACACAACAACAGAAAAAGGCAAAACAAATATAAGCACAAAAACCAAAAACAAATAGCAAAGTAGGTTCTGGACATTTTCAATACAAAGTCTAAGAAAAGAGAAATTTCTGAAGTGATGCTGGAAACAGGACATGGTGTCAGATATGCATGAAAACAAACGCTCACAACAGGAAGCGTTTCCTTGTGAACAGGTTCCTCTGGCTTTCCCATGTGGGGCCAGCTCCGCTGCCAAGAGCCTGCACTGTGGTCACCGCCAGGTGGCCCTTGGTGGCCCAAAGCACATCCCACGCACACATTTGACTAGAAGTCACCAGGTCAGGCCCCACCGCGTGTTGGGTGCAAGCATTACAGACACTCACCTATGGCAGAGCCGTTGAGAAAAAGGGCAACGCCAAAGAGGACGCCCATGCAGAGTGCGAGGATGAAGGGCCGCCGGCGACCCCAGCTCAGGGTGCACCGGTCACTCGCAGACCCAATGAGCGGTGTGAAGATGAGGCCAAGGATGGGACTCAGGAACCAGGTGAGACTGTAGTACTGCTCCGGGAGGCCTGTGGGGACACGGAATTACGCGCACAGCCCATGGACATGGTGCGTGTGCGCACACACACACACACACACACACACACACACACACACACACAGAGTCTCCTCGAGTAGACCTTTCTCCTGGGGGGCCCTGTGATCTCAAGTCAGCCCAGGAAAGCAGCAGGAGGCCACACAGCCCTGGGCCCTGGGGCAGGCTCAGGGTGCCTGCAGGGTCACCATGCTGCTGCACACAGCACAGGAGCAGCCTGACTGCGTTCACAGTGGACTGGACATGGAGCCCCTCCATGCTGCTGGTGTTGGCCAGGCCTGGGGCTGCTGCTCCTCTACACCTCCTGGTCCACTACAAAAGCTTCAGTGCTAGTAACAGCCTATGCCTTCCGGACCTTGCTGTGAAAACTTACCACAGAGGATCTTCCAAGGACCCACACAACTATCAAGGTGCTCAGTTGCCCTGGCAGTAGGCATCCTAAGAAGTGGCTGAAGGGAAAGGGCAGGAGGTATGACTTGTGTGTCCAGCTGGAGCCCAGAGGCTGTAGCCAGTCCAACACTCAACTCTTATATTTAGCCTTCCTAATTGCCCTGGGAGGCAGGGCACTTGAAGCTCAGAGATGCTAGGCAATCTACTCTAGGTCACACAGCTAGAAAGTGATGGCCCCAGGATTTAAACCAGGGCAGCCTGAGTGCCCAGTCTATGTTCCCTTCGTGTGTATGCTGCCTCCATATTACACAGCAGGCTGGACAACCTTTCACGGCAGGTCACAGACCAGAGCACCGGAAAGAACTAGCACAATTGGGCTGAGTCTCACACAGTGTTGCATGACAGAAGCCGCCCCGGACAAGCACACACCACAGGTTCTGTGATGTTCAAAGGCTCACAAAGGAAGTAAGGGTGCTGGTCACTCTTAGGAGGGCAGTGCCTGGAGGGGTGGGGCTAGCTCTCCTAGATCTGGACAGTGGTCCCAAATGTGGCGGCATGAAGACAGTTCCTCCAGCTGCAGACTAAGGACTAACACACGGTTCACTTAAAAGATAAAGAAAGGTGTTCTCTATCACCTCATCAGGCTAGCATTTTACACTGCTAAAGGCGCTGAGAAAACAGTATTGTGTTGACCTGGCACGAAAAATAAACTTGTGTAGAAGGAGGAAATTGTGTGCACAGGAGGGAAGCACCTTTCAAAATCACTGCTAACGTGCCTGTAAAACCCGGCTTGGCTCCAAGGTGTGTGCTTTGACCCTGGCACTCACAGGGCTGCAGGAAGGCAGGCAGGCTGATTCCTATCCCAAGTCAGCAGAACGCCCTGAGGGTTCAGGAAGCCAGAGGCTGCTGAGTGAGTTCCTCTGGGAGGCACTCAGCTTCCTCATGAGAGGTACCCAAAGGGGAGGCATCAGCTGCCACCAGCAGCACAGTCCCTGCCACCTTCAATGATGCACATGTCAGGTGTCCTAGTTCTCAGAAGTGGTTCTTAGTCAAAACTACCCAGACCGAGCAATGCAGCTGAGGGTTCACAGAGAGAGGAGAGCACCATTACCTGCCCAACCCACTCCCTCCGGCCCTGCTACACCTTACAGTCAATGACTTGCTGTCACTATTCAAACTTCCAGGGGGAGGTGAAGAACCAACATCCAGAAGTACCCCAAGACCAGCCAATGCCAGCACAAGATCCCCACCTACAGACCCCAAGGCCCCGTGTGTGCTCCAGACAGGCTGCAGCCCGCTCCATCCCTTTAAATGTGGAACCAGATGGGACCCACAGAGGGCTACGGGTTGCTGACCTAAACCAAGCCTGGTGACACGAGCCCAGGGAGGGCCAGCCCACCTGTTTGTCCAATTTCCATCTCCCTGCTCAGCCAGGCATTCCACCAGTCCACTCAGTTTCTTATCCACAGCTTCTGACTCTGCCTTGTCTCTGCTGCTCACTGGCCCTGGTTAACCAAACCCCAAACAGTCCTCACCGTGGCTGGCCTACCTCTCAGCCAAAGTCCTCATCCTTTGTGCCCTCCCACACAAGATCCTGCAGTGTACCTTGCTACTAAACGCCTTGAGATCGCAGGTCCCCACAAATCAGTTCTCTCCCAATGAGGTCAAAGAGCCAACACACAGAACCTAGGGTCCTATCACTTGCTACATGCCCATGTCCTTCTGTCATCATGACAGTCTGGCCTCAGTCATGGCAGTGTGTCCAATGCTGGGCCAGGTTCAGCTGGATTGGCAGGCAGGGTAGACCTGCTGCGTGTCACCCTGGGACACTGCAGCAGGCCTGGGGGTCTGGGTCTGGTCTCAGCAGCTTTCAGCCTCTAGGAAAGACAGGCATCAGCAAAGCTGCCACACGGGCAGGCTAAGCCTGCAGGTGGACAGGCATCATGGGAGATCATGCTGAGAAGGGGGACTGATGGGTTCCTGAGGTCTGCACTATGGAGCTAAGGGAAAAAGAGGTGGACAGGGTGCACTGGGCAGCAGGAGGATAGGAGCAGGTGTTCAGCAGAGCCTGTGGAGGGTGGTGTGGTGTGCTTCCACTCTCTAGAGCAGGCCAGGGCAGTATAGGGACCAAAAGATAATCTCCTGGCACAGGGGGGCAGGCATTAGAGCAACAAGGCCAAGGGAAGCTGGAAGACCACAGGCTGGCTGCTGGGTGAGGTTGTCCTCTTTCCCCACCTCCCCCAACTTGGCTGAACATCACCCAGGTCAGGACTGGGTCCAAGACTAGTGACCATGATCCTCCTGGCAACTCTGGGTGGTCGTGGCCAGTACGTAGCTATCTAGGCACAGGGACAGAAGCAGCCACCCAGGGACTCTCGGGCCCAGCTGTCACCAGTGTGCTAATCTGGAGGAACTAAGCAGTGCACCCGTCTCAGCCCCTTCCTGGAGGGCTAGGGCTCTAGAACAGGGCAGCAAACTCTGCCACCAGTGACCATGGGGTATTCCAGTTACGTCTTGCAAGGTTAAAAAAAAGACGGGAGTATTTCCTGACATAAAAAGCCTATGAAATGGAATTTCGATGTCCACAAGTCTTACTTGACACAGGCAGCTGATCTGGTGGTGTCCATGGCTGCTCTCCAGCCAGAGGCAGAGCCGAGCGCTTGTGACCCTCTGGTCCACAAACTGACAATTATTACTCTCTAGCCCTCATCAGAAAGACAGTTGAGCCTGTTCTAGAATGCAACTTGGTTTTTGCATTGTTCAGCTCTTGTCTTCCTGTCTTCTGCTTAAATGTCTTATCACTGCTGAAAGAGGAGTGGTAAGATTCCCAATTATGACTGTGCAATTGATTCTGTCCACTTCTGTTGCATATACCCTTGAGGCTCTGCCTACGAGGAATGCCAACACCACTCCATCTTCTTACCTTGCCATCCCCCACAATGCTCTGCCCCGAAGCTTCCTTCATCTGATGCTGACACACCACATCCCAGTGAGGCATCAACCCATCTGGGTCAAATATTTTGAGAGTACCTCTTAGAAACAGTATATAGGTAAATCTTCCCTTTCTATCTACTTTGGTTGGAATATTTAGTCCATTTACATTTAATGTAATTATTGCTATGCTTGAAGTTAGGACTACCATTTTGCTATTTCCTTTCTGTCTGTCCCCTCTTGTTTCTTGATTCCTGTTGATTAACTGAGTATCCATATTCCTCTTTATTTACTTGCTATTAGTGTTTTTTTTATAAAGTGATTGCTATAAGGATATTACTCATAAAACTTTATAAAAAAGTTTACTGAGTGAATATTATACCATCTCATGAGACTGATTCCACAGTATGCTACAATTTTGCTTCTACTAGTCATGTCCATGTTGAGGAAATCTGGGGGAAATAATCTTTGCCCACACTTCTTACGTTTGCAATATTCTTCCTTCCTCCACGACATCACCTGTTTCTTTGGTGCTTCTCCTACGGCAGACCTGCTTTCAGATTTCATATGCAATCTTTTATTACACTCTTATTCTTGAAAAGCATTTTCGCTGGGTATGGAATTTGGGGTTAGTGAAACCTCCTTCAGATCTTGGAGCATGCACTGGTTCTGGGTTCTGTGGTTCATGAAAAGGCAGCTGTGGGATTCCTGAGCTTGCACCCTCTAAGTAATTCGCCTGCCTTCCCTGATTTGATTGCTGCTTTTCAGCAATTTGCCAGCAATGAGTCTACGCAGGACTTTCCTACAGTTAGCCTGCCTGAGGTTCCCTGACCTTCACCAGTCTGTAGGAAATGCTCGCCTCCAGTCTTCTGTCCCATTCTCTCTGTCCTCTCTTCTGGCACTCCCAATTCCACATGCACTAGTCCGGTTGACACCGTCCCTCTGTCTCCTGAGGCTCTATTTATCTTTATTATTTTTTGAGTACTGGGGTTTAAACTCAGGACCTCGCACTTAATAGTAGGTGTTCTACTAGTTGGGCCACAGCCACAGTCCTAATGGTTATCTTTGAGATAGGGTCTCACATTTTTGTCCAGCCATCCTAGACCATGACCCTCCTACTTCTGCTTCCCATGTAGCTGGGATGACAGGCACATGCCACCACACCTAGCACTTTTTTGAGATGGGATCTGGCTAACTTTTTGCCCAGGCTGGCCTCAAACTATCATTGTTCTGGTCTCCACCTCCCAAGTAGCTGGGATTACAGGCATGAGCCTCTGCAACTGGCCTTATTATTAACTTTTCTGGCAGTACTGGAGTTTGAACTCAGGGCCTTGCACTTGATCCAGGCCCCAGCCCTTCATTTCTTTTTCCAATCTTTGCCCCCTCTGCTCTTTCTGACAGAACATTTCTATTGATTAATCTTTAGGCTCGCCGATTCTTCTGTCATTTCCAATTTGGTTAACTTTGTATTTCTTGTTGTACTTTTCAGTTGTAGAATTTCCATTTGGACTTTTTAAGAGTACGTAACTTCTATTTCTGTGCTAATATTTTCTACTTATGAAGGCGTTTTCCTTCCCCCATCCCTCCTTCAGTGAATGGAAGCCAGAGCCTTGTCCATGAGAGACAAGCACTGTACACTGAGCTATATCCTGG